AATTAAGTTAAAATTTTTTTTGAGGTTCAAGAGTTGTGTCCTCTATTGATGTTGTTTTAAGCCTGGCAGAGTGAAAATTTTAGGATGCTATAGAAATGACTAATTATTGGTTATTGGGGCAGACAAAATTACCAACAATGGACCTGCAACACCCACTAGTATCATAGCTGCATCACTATCTCATGCATTTGGTCTTTTTGTGGCTGTCTCTGTTGGAGCAAACATTTCTGGTGGTCATGTGAACCCTGCAGTCACATTTGGTGCCTTCATAGGAGGAAATATAACCTTGTTGAGAAGCATTTTGTATTGGATTGCACAGTTGCTTGGTTCAGTTGTTGCATGCATTCTTCTCAAGTCTGCTACTGGTGGAATGGTAACTATTATTAGTCTTTAGCTTTAAACTTTACTAATCATAATTTATAGTAAACTTTTACACTTAATTCATGATTGAAACTCTTAATTTTTTAATTTGTAAATTACAGGAAACATCAGCATTTTCTCTATCATCTGGTGTGTCAATTTGGAATGCATTAATTTTTGAAATCGTGATGACTTTTGGGTTGCTTTATACAGTTTATGCCACAGCAATAGACACAAATAAAGGGAAGGTTGGCATTGTTGCACCAATTGCAATTGGTTTTATTGTAGGTGCCAATATCTTAGCTGGTGGTGCTTTTGATGGTGCATCCATGAACCCAGCTGTGTCCTTTGGTCCCGCTGTAGTTAGCTGGTCATGGACTCATCACTGGGTCTATTGGGTTGGTCCATTCATTGGTGCAGCAATTGCTGCCATTATCTATGATAATATATTCATTGGTGATGATGGTCATGAACCCCTTTCAAGTAGTGACTTCTAAATTTTTATTTTACACATATAAATTAATCTATCCTCGCCCTCTTTATGTTGAGGAGGGAATAAATTATTGAAGGTTTTAGCTCCTTTAGAGATGGTTAGCATATAGAAAAATTAATCTTTTTTTAGCTCCTGTAGATCTTAAGATTTCTCTTTCTTTCATGTAATAGAGATAAACAAGGAATTTCTAGATGTAATATTCTTGTTAAACTAAGGTTATAAATTACGTTTTGTGTGTGTATATATATATATATATATATATATATATGTGTGTGTGTGTGTGTGTAGATGGTGTTCTAACACTTAAACTTTTCTTATCACCGTATTAATAACTTTAATTGTTTAAATAACCACACTTAAAATGTAATCGTTCTTAAGTTAGGCCAACAATTAGGTTATGTTTGAAAATTATATTTGTGATGTAACTTTTCAAGAATTGATTTGTTTAAATACTTATTTGTGTGAGAAAATTAGAGAAATGTAAAATTAATCATTAATTAATTAAATTAATTAATACATTCTTAAATAATAGCAATAGTATAATATAAGATATCGTGTGAGTAGTATTGATTTTGGTATATAAACTTAACAGCTTGAACTCTCAAAATACAATAAAATGGCATTGGTCCTTTAAAATGTTCATAATTTATCATTTCAGCTAAAATTTTCTCTCTAAAGTTACTAATTTATATAAGTATTGAACTATTTTTTATTTGTAATTTGTTTCTTTTCCTTAAATTTTATTAATTGTTTACTTTTTTAAACATATTTTTAATTTAAATATATTATTTTCTTAATTCAAAAACAAATGAATCCTTTACTTATGATAATAATAGATATTAGTTATTGAACTTTTGAAGATGATAGATCATAATGAGTTTAACTATCTATTTACTTTATATCTGACGAGAGGTCTCTTTTATTTGATGTAACTTTATAAATTATTTTTTATTAAACAGTTTAGTATAAATATTATGAAAATATTTTAATTGGAGAATAATCTTTATTCTCTCTCTCATTTTTTATGTAGGTATTCCTACATCAAAATTAAAAAATTAAATTTAGACTTCGGGCTAAATACAGATATTTTATTTAAAAATTTATGAGTTTAACTTTTAAAATTGAGTTTAAGGATTAAAAAGAATAATTTTTTGTTGGGTATTAAAAATATTCAAATAAATATATTCTTTTAAACAAAAAAATTACTATGTGGTTATTTAAACTTAATCATAAAAGTTGAAGTTAACAGTTTGATAAATTTACTTATGAGAACACATTATAACTTACATGATTCTGTGTCTAAATTCATAAAAATAATTATTATTATCTAAAATGGTAAGATAGGTAGCTTCTGAGATGGTTAAAGGTGTGAAATTATAATACAATTAAGATACATAGCATACCATTTACCTGAGGCCAGAAATCAATGAACAGATAAAAATAAGCTGTAATCTTACTATGTAATGCAAGAAATATTCTTTAAAACTTGTAGAAGTTCCCAATTGATCAGTCTTATTGGCTTGTGATGAAAAGGATCAAACAAAGAAGCAATTGTTTACAGTTGAAATCTTACAAATTGTTCAAGTATCAAGTTTGCTATTAGTCTTTTCTTCTCTTAGTTTGAATTATGCGTAATTCTGATTTTTAAGTTTTTTAATTAACTTTATATTTTTAAAATCAAGTCAATTTAATCTTTTTATCAATTTTTTACATAAGTTTCTCATTTTTGTTTAAATATTTATGATTTATAATATATGCAAATAGTTTTAAAGGTATAAAAGTAAAAAATTCAAAAGATTTTGTTCGATGTAATATTAAAATTGAAAGAAAAGCCTTTTTTTAAAAAATTTTGGTGCATTTTAATATTTTAGTTGATGAATAAATGTTAAAATAATTTAATTTGAAAAATGTTTGAGTAGAAAATGAAAATAATTTGAAGAATCTAAGTGAAAAAATTGATATAGAGACTAAATTTGCTTTACCTTAATAAAACAAATATTTAATTGACTAGAAAAAAAAACTTACAATACTAAAATCATGCATATCAAACAATAAAGATCAAAACTACAATTAAAACTTTGTTGGACTTCCATTCCACTATTCCTAACTCAACCATGGATTAAGTTATTGATTTTTTTTTTAAAATTTCATATTCTTAAACACACAATAGATAAACCAATAACAAAGTACCATTTTCTTATTCAAAATATTTTCATAATTTATTTTTACAACAAATTCAATAACTTATTTTCATTTATCTTTTTTTATTACATCACTCCTCTTATCTATGACTTCTTTCTCTTTGTCTCTCATATTTGTAAACATTATAATGAAAATGAGGTGTAGAAATATGATTTTAATTTATTGAATAAAAACTAACATGCATTTGCATATGCACGTGGATGATGGTGGTACCTAATTAAGCCATCTTCCATGCTGTCTTTTTAGGAGAGTATCAACAAACAAAACTTGCTTTCAAATAAATGAACCATTCATACTTTCTTCTAATAGTTAATACAAATACTATAACAAAACAAAAACTTAAAAATGAGAAAAACATAACAAGGATCACGCATTTTAAAAAAGAAAATCATAGGGATATGTTATATATACTGAGGGTACCCATCAAAATGTTCATGTCTTAATTTTAAAAAGCAAGATTATCAAATAGACTACTAATTAAAGGAAGAACCCAACCTTTTTAATTAAAGTAATATTTTCAAAAACATGATTGTGAAAGCATAGTAATTTAATTTTCCCATCGCAGCCACTCTCAAATATCTCTGCTAACAAAACCAACTTTCCTTCTATCTATGTCAACAAAAAGTTCCTTTTTGATTATGAAAACTATGATAGAAATAGAAATGCCATTTTCGTAAACTAATTATTAAAAAATCGTTTGACTTGTTTATTTTATATCTTTTAATCTATTTTAACTTTGAATTACGTGTATAATTGAGAAAAGAATTATACAATTCAATTACCCTCATATTTTTAAATATATTTTAACAAAAATTTCAATAAAATTTATTATTTATAGATTCTTTATTACTTTAAGGAGATTAATTAGAAAGATTCATATTTTGATTACTAGAGGAAGGCGTGTCGTGTGGGCAAAAGAGGGTTTGGTCCCCCAAAGTGATTATTTAATTTAATTTTCTTAAGGATAACCCATTTATATCCTCTTTAAGTCATTTAAATATACATAATCACATCAACACTGAAGTCATGCCCAACAATTAAGCCATTTAACTGTAAAAATGAATTACTTTATGCAAGAAACCAATTCCAAGAGGAGCACGAAAGGCTCATTAGTCCATTCCTTCTATAAAGCAATCAAATTTTTTGTTACTACCTTCACCTCAACATGTGCACCTCACACAACTCAAGATTTCATCATCTTCTTATCTTCATGAAAACCTCAATGGTATGAATATGACAAATTGTAATGGGTCCATTATCTACATTTACAAGCTTTGCTTTCATTCAAATCAAAGAATTAAGAACACTTGGCCCTTTGAAAGTTCTCTAGGTAGTAAATTATTATCAAATTTAAATCATGAATTCAAAGATGACGAATTCACCAATTTCACAAGCTACTCTTTTAAAAGCCACCGAAATACGCTTACAGTTAGGCCTTAATGCCCCCATTTGACCATATATATGTGTGTGTCGTCATAATGAAAGAAAAGTCGTATTGAATATTGATTCATGAAATCGGTATCAAGTTGCATTTAATGGCCTCCAATAGCCTACACTTGTGTATTCACCCATTTCAATGGAAATACACTCAAAATCTATCTACTTATAAATTAATGTATGTGATTTTTTATAATAATTTTAATTATATTAAATTTTATATTTTCATCTTTATGCAAATGTTTTGTTATATGTTAGTATTTATTATTATAAAACTATTAAAAATATAAATATATAAGATTAAAACGTAAATTTTTTTAGTATAAGATTAATTTGTAAATGATGAACAAAAATTAAATATATGCTTTTATTAATATCATGTATTATTATTAAACTCTTTTCATGCTTATTTATATATAATGGAAGTGAATTTACAAGGTTACTAATATAGATGTCATTGAACTCTTATCCTAGTCTAAAACAAGACCAAGCACCAAAGTCATATTGTAACAGCAGATTCCATGGGAGAGGATGTGTTTAGGAATGTACCAGATGAAATTCTGGGTCGCATAGTTTCTTTTCTACCAAAAGAATCAGCACTAGAAACCTGTCTCCTCTCTACTAGGTGGAGAAACCTATGGAATGAAGCACTTGTTAAACATGGAACAGCAGAGGATGTCACATCAGTTGTTGCTGGATTTCTGACACGTTTTGAGGAGCTTGATCCACTCAAGCATCCTAGAAAGCTTCAATTTCACTTTGCTGAAGACAGTGTTGTCTTAGCAACTGCTGCAAATAACAGCAAGCTTTTGTTGGATTTTTCCCCTTGGAAGAGAGAGCTTCAAATGGAGTATGAGTTGCAATTCAAGCTCACCTACCAGTCTTTTCCACCTACTTTCTCAGTCAAAACACTCTATTTGAAATCAGTGAGTTATTTGACCAGTGAGGTAGCTTCATCCATTGTTTCAAATTTGGAGCATCTTGAGAACTTGGTGATCATTGAGTGTAGTGGGTTGCAATCTTTGAGTGTTGACTCTAACTCACAGCTTCACAAGTTAACCATCTTAGATTGCTTACAATTGAAGACCCTCCATCTTAAAACTTCAAAGCTCAAATCTTTTCATTATCGTGGACCTCTTCCTGTGATTAGGCCTGAATATCATTTCAACTTGAGTGATGCCATGCTTGATTTCAGAGTAGGACCTAGCTGCAGTGTTTTGAAGACTAAAGATTTTGATGCAACTTTATTAACAATAAAGAACTCTCAAGTTCTAACTCTCTGTAAATGGACTTTCGAGGTATGCCATGCTTGTTTAATTGCATTTTTTATTCATTGAGCATGGCTTGAACCAAGTACGCAAATTTCTGAAAAACATGCTCAAGATGTGTTTTTTTTAACATAAATAAGGTATTCTTTTGTAGGAATTAATATGGCGATCAATTTCTCCTCTATCTGGGAGCTTCAAATTCTATAAACTAAGAGAGTTATGGTGGATAGACAACTATAATAAGGATGAATACAACATGGATGTCTTATTCTCCTTCTTGAAATTATGCCCTTCCTTGGAGCAACTTTTTGTGACCGTAAGTTTCCTCCTTGGAGAGTGGTTGAAGCCCTTTTGTTCCACTTTATAGCTTTTAAAGTTGTTGACATCATTTCACTAATTGATGTGCAGATTGATCCTAAATGTTATTCAGCTGAATGGTCCAATTCATGCTTAATGCAAGCCACTGAATGCACAGAACTGGAGCATCTAAAACTGATCAAGTTAATTGGGTTTACAAGTAGAAAAGATGAAATTTCATTTGCAAAATGTTTAGTTAATCTAATGAAGGGAAACCCTCCAAAGATAATGACTTCGGATGATAGCTCATTGGATGCTGTGTTTTTGCAGTAAATAAGTCACAGCAAACAAAAGGGTTTCTGCAAGTGTCAGAAAAATAGGACAATTATGAACAAGTCATGTAATAAGTGTGTATGCAAGGTATTAAAGTATTACAAATGGTTGTCTCTTCTCTTCTAGACATTTTTTCTTGTTCATTAGCACGTTTTTTTTTATATGGAAGATAAATCTTCTTTGAGTCAAAACTGTAAGCCACAAATCTTTTCTCCCAAGTATTTAATTATATCACTTATTCAATTATTCTTTTCTCTTTTATCTTATATTATTTTCACAAAAAAATCTCTGTTTCTATTATTTTCATCATATCACTGGTTTAGTTATCCCTTCTCTTTTTATGTCTCTTTTTAATTTGTAGAATAAATATAACAATTTTATTAAAAAAAACATTTATTTATTTATTATTGGCCCTTTTAATAATCCTTAAACAAAAAGAAATTTAAATTTTCCAATTTTAAAAAAATAAAAAAAAATCAACTCGTCTATTTTAGTTTTTTAATTATCATCCTATCAATTTGATTCTAATTATAAAACTTGAATAAGTTTTCATTTTTTTTAGTCTTTATAGATTAATTTCATCAAAATACATCAATCATAAATCTAGAATACTTTGATAAAATGTACTAACTTTTAACTTCAGCTAAGGTAAATAAAATATAAATATAAATTCTAAATACATTTTTAAAGAAAATCTTAATTAAATATTTTATTAAACTTAATTTATAATATTTAGAGGATACATATATAAAGTTCGAAAAGTCTTAAGGAATTATCTCTCTTCACTGAATTCACTTTTGTCTCTAATTCCCTACTTTTTTGTTTAAGCCCAGACACTAGTGGTGCTTGACATCCTAAGATTATAACTTGAGTGTTTGTTTTGTTGAGTTTTTAACCCTATTTAATATTAAAAAAAATACATGATTAAAAAATAAAAAGAGAGTATATATTAAAATTAATTTACACTTAAAAATAATAATTCAAGATAATAGTTTTGTTTGGATAAGTCATTATAAAAAATAATAATATAAAAATTATATAAGTTAAAATTAATTTATATTTTTAAATTTTTATAAATTAATTATTTTTAAATTTAAAAAAATAATTATTTTTAATTTATAGAAAAGTTTTTTTATAAAAATTTATATTTAATATTGATTTATTATTTGTACGGTGACACGAATTAATGCGTATTTGGTTTAGTCCAATAATAAATATATAGAAAGAGATAGTTTCGGCGACAGAAAGGTTCGTTTGGAGGTAACCACTGCAGTTCCAAACTCGCACTTTGGATATAAAAACTTAATCGATTCAACTTTATAACATTTATCGCAAAATATAAATTTAATAAATAATTTCGAACATCAAATATTAGGTATATACTTTAAATAAATATTTATTATTATTGTAATGATCCGTATTTAAAATTACAGAAACAGTATAAAAATATATATTTTTAATTCTTTAATTACTGTTCTAAGACACTGATTATTATTTTTCATATGAAAATAAAAAATTCTGATCTGAAATATATGAAAATATTTCTTTTCTTATCAAAATTGTTGAAGTGGTGTTGGAACATGTAAGTTGGCTGACTCATTATATATTCTAATTTTATAATTTATAAAAAAAATTACAATGCATTCTTTCTGATTACTGTGTGATGGTTTTGAGAATAGCCCAATTAAAATGAGAACTAGGGCCCATTTCAATTGGGCTCTAAATTTGTGGTCTGGGCCTTAATTTGCTCTTCAATTTTTCACTTCCTTGCTATTAGTGCAAGTTGTTCATTATGGGTTGCGTATTATCTATGCCTACGCTTTTCAATTTTACTATTTCGACCAAAAATTATAATGGATTTTTTTTTTATTATGTACGTAAGTTTTAAAATTATTGAATTTTTTAAAATATAAATAAATATCAAATTTTAAATAACATATCTACACATATCTAAATTATAAATATATTTAAAAAACTATTGAATGTGAGAGGGAAAAATGTATTAGGCAAAAAAGTTAGAGAGTCTAAATCTTGTTTATAAGTTGTTTAATTAAGAGGATAATGATTAAAGAATTTTTGGAATTTTTTTAAATCCTTTAAAACTCTAGTTTTTTGAGTTTTCAATTTTAGGAGGTTTTCTCTTTCCTGTACTCTTTCATTGTTGGAATTTTTATTTTTATTTTTAAAATATTAGTTTTTTAAATTATTTTTAGAGAAAAATATTTATTTTTTAAAAAAATATATAAAAAATGATTAAAAAATATGAATAAAAGATTATAAAAAATAATAATATCATTTATATACTTAAACTCTTTATCATCCTTTTCTCTTAGTATTAAACATCTAAACAAGAAAAAAAATTTAATTTTATTTCTACTTCCTTCTCTTTCCCTTTTTCTTCTCTAAACCCTCCCTCCCTTCCCTTTCAAATTTTCAAATAAAGTCTTAAAAGAAACAAGCAACTAAAACAAGAGTTGTGAAAGTCAATGTTAATGGTAGGCAAACAATATGACAAAATGTAATTAATTAACTATGGTCCCTATGGGCAAATTGTTGCACTAACAGTGGTTGATGTTGTTGACTTAGCACAGTATATATTGACTTGAGGCAGTGTTGTGCTTTTGCTGCAACTTGCTTTTTATCACTTAATTTCTTTCACATTCATCTGTCATATGGAAAGTGACTAATTGGATAATCACTTTACAGGTTAATTAATTTGAGGAAAAGTGATTATTGGGGCGTTTTTGGTTTCCACATATATATCATACCTTTTGCCTTCACTCATTCAAACGTGCCCATGGACGGCATTGATCACGCCGTCGTTTAAGTGCTTCCCCGTGTTCATTTGGTTGGTAATTGAGGTCGGTACCCATTCATTGTTATTGTTCGAGACTCACTAGTTTGACCTTTGCTTCTTTATTTATACCATGTATTAGAAAATTTCATGTATGCTTAATTAATTAGTCATGCTTATAATTTCTTTTTTTGTTCATATTATTCAAGTTTTAGTTGTTTTAAGAACTTTCAAAAACAATTCTCTCCAAAGTTTAGTAGTTAAATATTTTGTATATTTATTGAATATATTTAAGATCATTAGCATTCTCTCCACAGTTTGTTTACAACTTTTTTAATTAATATATGTTTATTGTTTAAAACCAACAACTCATAAGTATATACGGTTTCATCAAGAATATGCTTATAATCAGTTTGTTGACTGTTCCAAATTACTAATCAAGTGGCTTAACATAATAACATTAATTAGGTACAACAATATTGGGTATACATAGCGTGTTTAGTTTTAGGAACGTTTCAAACAAGAAAGTCAGTATAATGTTAGATAGGATCCAGATTATGTACCCAAAATTTCACTAAACAAATAACTGTTTACATTTAATTAATAAAATAGGTATAAAGAGAGCAATTCAAAGATTTCATCCCACAGTATTTTTTTTAGTAAAAAATAGTTTAGTATTACTTAAGCAAAGTATCGAATTTAAGTCTTTATGCATGCATATAATTTTTAATGTTAAATTCACCCACTATATCTGAGTGTACAATTTAGGTCAAATTCAAATTATTTGGATGAAAAACCAAAAAAAAGATTTGACCCTATAAAATACAAAAGTAATAAGTATTAGAAATCAACATTTTCGTTAAAAGCATTTTTAGCCATGAAACATTATTCAATGAAAAATAACAGAAAATGTGTTAGGGAAAAGTAATTATGAAGTGTTATTTCCGTAAGGAGCTTTGCAATAATCTGCCTTTAAATTGCTCTAAATGTTTATTCATTGATCAAAAAGAAAGAAAGAAGTGCAGACTATATCCATGTTTTCATATTTCTAAGTAATAATTAATTAACTTCATCATAAAATGAACTTAATTATAATTGATCGATCGATTCCACATACATCAATAGAATTAATTTGAAAGGAAAATTTACAGCCCTCAAAAACAATGGAGGCCGGCGTAAACAACTTCAAACATATGAATTGTCAAAGCTGGTTACCATAAAAATCCATAATATGTATCTTAGTAAACAACTTTCTGAATAATGCATATAGAATTGTAAATTTATTTTAAGGAAATAGAACTGTAAATAGTTACAAAGTCGATATCATGCTAATTTAGGTGGTTAATTAGAAAGTGCAGTTCTTTTAGTAAAAACATAATGTCTAAGTTAAAACGGAAATCTGATAAAGGTATCTAATCCATTCCAGTATCATAAATATATATGATCATAACACTCTTGAAATATGTCATATTCTCTCTGTTTAAATTTTTAAGATTTTCTTTCTTTCACTTTAAGTCATTTTTGCATTGTATTCTCTTTTACTTTAAGTACATCATATGTTTTATTTTCTTTAAATTAAACATTATTGTTAAATTTAGGGTAGGGCAACATTAATCATTTTTAAATTTTGAACTTTAAAATACTATTGAATTAACAGATATTAAATTGATATAATACTTACCTTATAATACTTCAACTTTTTGAACGATAATAATAATAATAATAATAATAATAGTTATTATTATTATTATTATTACATTTTTAATATATTTTTATTATAAAAATTATTTATTTTAATTTAAAAACATCTGAACAACGTACTAAGAGTATGTTTGAATTATACTACAATTTATATTTAAAAACAGAAAACTGTTTTTAAGAGAAAAATACCCTAAGAGTTTTCTTGATTATAATGGCTCAATTTAAATGGGAAAATATTGAGAAGGTGATGTAAAAATATTTCTAATTCCACGGCTACATTATGAGAATGGCTGAAATATAAGACTGAAAAAGATAAAGATGCAAAATTCTCACTCTCATCCAAGATTCATGACGTTTCCTTCACACGTATATGGATAAAACAGGATAAGGCTCAAGTAACTTGGTGTATATAACCCAGCCGCAAGATCAGAAAACGCATTTTCACTCACAAATCTAGCTGTAGTCATATTCTATTTGGTGACTCATATCATACCACATAATAAATTTACAAGAGGCTTGTGTGAAACCTATTATAAGTAAGAGGTCAGCATGAGACCAAGAACTAAGAAGCATAGTATAACTTCTAGCTACTTTATTATTCGTATGAAAAGTTGGACCAAACTACTGAGATAACCCAGCTGGACCAACACAGTCTTTGCAAGCTACCTATCTACAAACTACTATTTCTAGAATTAGCATCTTTTACCCTTTAAACAAGTTTTCTGTTTTGCCAAGATCACACTATTGCATGATCCATGCAAGTCAATCCAAAACCTGTGTCTTAATAACAAAACCAAGTAAGAATTTCATTCATGTTAAAAAAAATGTTTTTTTTGTGTGTGTGAAAGATAATTAACATAATTGATATTAAGATACCCAAAAACCATCAATCACTAATATTTTATTTACTATTACCACAATTATTTAATGAAAGTAACGTGTGTTTGATAATATAAAAAAAGTTAAGAAATGATTTTTAATTCGAAGTTCAAGATCTCAACAAGCCGACATGGTTAAATAATCATTCTCAGTTTCTTAATACCTCTTTGACTAATATGTTCGGGCAGTTATGGGATTAATTAATATAATAGTTCCCACATATTGTTCTCATTTAATATATACTTAATAATGCACCATCCAAGAAAAACCTTTTTCTTCAATTTGTCATTTGCTGGTTGTCCAGTAACTGTAATTAGATTTATTAATTATTACGAAATTTCTCTTTTTAAATTTCTGAATCAAAGTCTCGAATGTGACCTGACTAAGCAAACAAGGAAATTACAATTGAGAAACTTTGACAGTTACTATGAGGTGATGGATGATGGCGATATAATGATGATGACTGTGATCACAAAAGTCCACTGTGGTAAGTTAAGTTATTATGCATATAACAGCATAAGCACGTTTAGTGATTTTCTTATTAATCAAGTAAACCTTGCCAAACTACATTATACGTCAGATTTTTGCTATTCCATCCATTTCAGATGAAACGCTATTAATTTAGCTAGAGTCATTTATAATTTTATATATTCAACTGAGGTTAAGGTTTGTCATTTCTATGGTTGGAATTAAAGAAAAGCTCGTTTTCTAGATGAATTCGTGTCTCTTCCTGGTTTAACTTGTAGCAGTATCAAAAGTTGTCACCATCGTCAATATAATCCGCATGAAGTCTAACTATTTTGGAAAACCATTGTACGTTGTGAAACTTGTCATACTATATAAAGTTTGTTAATTACCATCACTTGTGGAGTATTTTCCATAGAAATTGTAATTGTAACTCTTTATTTTCAAAAACATTATTCAAATAAGAACAACGACCAAGTCCAAAAGTAAAATGAAAATAAGAAAAAAGCAAAGATAGATACCTAGAAACACTTGTGAAGCACATGGTTTACTGTGTGTTTGGTCGAACCTATGTGGTCCGCTTTTAAGCACACTCAACTATCTCCATCTACCAACAACTACATAAGTATTAAAATTATCTTAACACATGTTTCGTTTAAAAGTGTGAATGAAACAAATTGATAAAAGTTTAAAAAATAAAAATAAACTTCTAGATGGCAGTCGTAAAGATTAATGTATTTCTGTATTGAAGTGCACGGCACTTGGTATTTGGAAATTTCCTTCTAGACTTTATGACCAATTTCAAGAATGAAAAATTAATCCAACCTGATGTACATATCTAGTGATAAAAATATAAGCATTTAGTGTCCATTATTTGCCACGTCATGTCATGTATATCAATAACAAGTGAGTTGATTAATTAGTATAGTCTTTGGATACTTTTTTTTAAGATAAGTATTTGATTCTAAATTTATTATTAAAAAGTCATTATACGTTTATAATATATAATAAAGATATTAGATCAATTTTTTTTTTAAAAATACACATTAATTTTAATTTATAAGAAAAATTATTTTATTTTTTTATACATATTTATTATAAAATTTATTTAAACTAGTATTATTTTAACTGCAATGAACATAATTAATGGCCAACGCCATTTATATACATAAGATCTCATGAGAGATACGATCCTTCTTCTATCTTTATTCTTCTTCTCAAAACAAAATCGGATATAAAATGATATCCAAATCCCATGTTTAATTTTCACGCTTAAGTCAGTTCTATAAATGAATTCATCAGCACAAGTTCACACCAAACAATTGGAAAATCAAGGAATAGTTTAAAAAAATAAACAAAATCTCTGTTTAGAACAATCAGAAGATCGCTTCCTATACCACTTAGAAGACTGATATTATTTTTTCTTTCCTTGAGATTGAGTAGATCATTTAACTCACACCCATTAATTAAAATGGAACCTGGAAAATAAAATTGAAATCTTACTTATATAATAATAAACCCTTTTGTTTTTTAGTTTAAAATGTACATATCAGATATTGCCAAATTCTAATTAAATGAACAAAAGTTTAAATTAGATATATATATATATATATATATATATATATATATATATATATATATATATGTATGTATATATGTATTGCCAGTAGTTTCATGAGATCAAGGTTTTAGATTGATTCTGCAATCATGACTTCGAAACCGCAATTTAAAACTTTGTTTGTATTGAAATATGTAAAGTTTTGAAATTTGATATTAGTACATTATAAGTATAAAAATTTTTACACCATTAATTTTTCATACTATATATCGTTGATATATTTTTATTACAAAAAAAATTCGTATTAATATAATAATCTAAATTAGATGATAGTATAATAATTTTTATACTACCATTATATTTAAATTAAATTTAAAATTTTATTTTATAAACAAAACATATAGATAATATTATTATAGATATTATTTATGTTATTCTTTAATTAATTGATAATTTATCTTAATAATTACAATCAATTTTAGTTACTAAAATAAAAGTAACAATTATAAAAAATAATCATATTTACTATAACAGTTATGAAAAGTATTTGATACTTCTTTAAATATACTATATCTCTTAAAAGACGACCAACACCAAATTAGGTCACAACAATGGCAAATGATGTTTTACTTTTACAGACTAAACTATAACCCAAAAAGAGAAAGAGAAAACAAAATCATTAGTTTATTGGTTAATTAATTAAGCACATTTATACAGAAAAATGTTTTTTGAACATCCAAGAGTAAACGCTTAAAGATGTCTCCATATTTTTTGATATATTTTTTAGATATGCGTATATATAAAGATAAAAATATATTTTTTATACAATGCAAACTTACTCAGCATTAATTAATTCATCAGTTGGCTTAAAAAATGTCTGGAATCTTTAAAAAAATTTAGCGGAAGGAAAATGAAATTCTAATTATGCCCAAGAAATGAACAATTTTTCATACAGTATGATACCAAATATAGACGACAGATTAAAAAACAAAGCATTAATTCATCTATCTATAATACACAAACTACCTCCCCAAGTTTAATTAACACAAATAATCAACCAAAGCAGCTGTCTTTCCAATCTTCAAAAACTGCAAATCATTCTCAAAGGGTGTCAAATTCAAATCCAAAACCAAAACTCTCTTGTCTCCAGCTTTCATCTTTGGTGAAGAATCAAAACTGCTACCACTAGTACTACTACTCATAGTGGTAGAATTGTGCATGTTTCCATTCAAAGTTGCAGCTCTGTGCCTCCTCATGTGTCCTCCCAAGGCTTGTCCAATAGCAAACTCCAACCCACAAATGGAACACTCATGGGTCTTAGGCTTAGGGGGTGAATCATGATTCAATTGGCCATCCATGTCTCCATCCCCTCCCATCAATCTTGGCTTCTTGTGACTAGCCCTGTGGCCACCAAGTGCTTGAAATGAAGGGAATTGCCTGTTACATGTTTTGCACTCAAAGACACGGTTGTTATTTGAAGAGTTTGAGTATGTGGCCTCAAATTCACCTCCACGTGAAAGCAGCATCAAACAATTAGCCATGGTCACACTATCGACCTCTCTTTCTCTCTTCATGGCACAGCCCCAATAACTACACTAACAAAAACAAATTTGAGATATGTTTGAAGGTGTGAACGAATGTAAATGTATGAAATGAGAGAGAAAAGTATTGGAATGGAACTCTTGGAGACTCGAAAAGGTTTGGTATTTATAAAGGGTGCTTCATGGTTTGGTAGCTTGAGAGTGCTGAACACTCTTGATGATAGTTGACATTTTGTGAATAATTCTTGGGTGAGCATGGCACCAATGAACATAATTAACCAATTAAAATTTGAAGATAATATCAATGTAATTTTAGTACATACTTCAGCACAAAGTTTGTTGTTATTTTATTACATTTTGAACATTTGATTGGTTGTGTATACACACATTATGCTTACGTAAGAATTAATTTGACATGAATGTGCACATATGTTGCCAAACACTGTAACCGTGACTTTTGATTACTTGTGAAATAAGCAAGCGTGACTGCTGCAGCAATTAAAAGCAATTAATTTGATGCGTTGAACTAAGAAGGGGTTACTTACTTAAGAGTTGTTTGGTGTGAAAGGAGTTAGCTGATTTTACGTAAGCATGACAGATTTGCTGAGCCAAACAAGGCAGAACGAGATTTGGTATTTGGTAGGACGGCACTACTATTACTAAAAATGTTTTATAGTTTGTTCAAACATTGATGGAAAATTCTAAGGCAATGTGTCGTTGATAGAATGGTATGAAAAAGGAAGCATCAGAGGACCACAGTTGGAAGCAACAGTTCAGAATAAACATACCCACATGTGAAGCTGACTTCTAAACATCTAGATGTCATGTTCCACGTTGAACATATTATAAAATTCAAATGAAATAAAATCAAATAAAATACAATTCTCTGTAATGAAATAAGAAATATGTTCATATTTAAAATAATTGTCTTCATTCAATTGTTTATTTAAGATGATTTTTCCCAAGTTTAAAATTTTAATAGTTGTTTTTGTAGGTAGGAGTTAATATAAAATAAGGAAAACTAGCTTAGATTCTTTTTTTATATATAATTGTTATTCGTTTTCTATTCTTCGATTTTTATTTTTAACTTGGTGGAGAAGTATAAAATTCTCTGTGGATTGTGGAATAATCTTATGCTCGCTCTAGAAATTTTCAATATTAAGACGACAAAAAAAAAGGGAATGTAGCGTGCAAGTAAAAATATTAACTCTTTCACAATTAATCATTCTTAAATTCAAAGATATTATTGATTATTTTAATATTAAAATTATTTGTTGCATTCATTTCTTAATATTTTACTATTTACCATTTATACCAATTTTTGTCGACGGAAAATTTTTAAAGTATTGGCTTAACAAATTATTATAAATTTAAGAACGATAAAATTTAATTGATGCAATTGAGCTTTTAAAAATTTAAAATTTCTTAGAATTTTTAGTTATTCTATCCGAAAACGCAGTAAAGAAAAAATAACTTTAGAAGGTACTGTATTATGTTCCACAGTAAAATAGAAAAGACCACAGCATGTAAAATATTAAAATTCAATAATGATATAAATATAAATCAGCTTTAGTTATTATAAATTTTATTTAATAAAAAAAATATAAATATTATCAGTAATGATGCATATTATATCAACAAATAATTTTATAAATATAATATTATTGATACAGTAAATGTTAGTATAATATTATTTTATATTTGTAGATTAAACAAATATTGCATACATTAATAATTTATTTTTCAATAAATGAAAAATATAAAAATTATTTTATTAGTAAATGACAATTATTTTACTAACGTATGTATAACATAATCAATGCATTTTCTAAGTAAAATGTATATATGCACCGTTTCTTTTCAAAACATAAATAAGTCTAATATTAATACTGTCGGTGTTATAGAAAATCAATAATCGAATATATTAATGAAAATTTTTCTTCAAAACATGAAATGCAAGACCCAAAAAAACGTAAAAGAAAAATGCATTTTCCTTTTTCCCTTGAAGATTAAAGGATGAATAAAAGTAGAACTTTACCAGGTTCTAAGTCACGTGACATTTAAGTAATTAATACATTAATCTTTGCAATATTTTATGTAAGATGTGTTCCTCGTACTCATCAGAAGAAACCATTCCTATATTACGTAAAAAAGAAAAGGAGTTGAAACTGAAAATGCATGGTGGAACATACATTGCAATGATGGTAGGAGCAAATTTCGGTAATGTGATGGAAAAATGATTCAAATTACGTGTCTCGCATTTGGTTTTTTAATACGACCGACTTTGGCCTTTGTTAGGTCTGACGTGGACCATACAAGTCAATGGCTCTTATGCATCCAAATCCTAATCCATTAGGTACTTTGGATTTGGATCACAAATTGTTCCATTCAACTTCCATCTTCCAACTATTTTCATTGACCATTTTGTAGGTAACATATTATCCAGTTGGCACCTTTGAAGCTACTCAATTTCTCTTATTTTAATTATACTCCATTCTACTACTATTCCATTCCACCCCTTTTTTGCCAAATTTCTAGAGCGTGTGACACAACTTTTCCAATCTTCAATTCTAAATATAGTCAAGATGTTAAGTTGTGTAATTAATTAATTTAATCCTACCTTATGGTCAAATGGGTTTCTTGTTAATGATTGTTCCAATTAAGGAAATGAATGCTAATGGTGAAATTGTGATGACTGTTAGGAACATGAAACTAGTTATGGATATGAATCCCATTCCCTTTAAATTAGCATATATATGTGTTTGTGGAAATTTGATGTATTTAACTTTGCCCTTTTTAAGATATTTTCTAAATCAGTTCTTGCATGCAACGCAAAAATTGGAACTTGTTGAAAAAGATAGGTGCTAGAACTTGTATCTTAAGTTAGATTTAATTACATTTTCAAAAATTCAATCTAATATTTGTATTCTGTCAACTTTATGTGCTTAGATACAAAACTGACTTAATATATATAAACAAAATATACAATTTTAAATATTCGATATGTGGTTAAATTGTAAAACTTTATAAGTGTGTCAAACTATATCATATGACTTGGATTTACGTGTTTCACTAGGATTTGCTTGTATGGTAGAAGGTATAATTGAATAGTTTCATATGGCAAAGTCCAATTCATCTCTTCTTGGATTTGTGATTTCTTATTCACTCTAATGGATAAATATTACTCTTGAGCCAAGGAAATCAGTGTGGTCAGTTCACACGTTCCATAATCAAGGTTTTAGTTAAAATATATCATTCTATTAAGCACCCATCGAAGCCCATGGAATTGCCAAGAGGGGCCTATAAAATTGACTAAGCTTTGACTTGTTCATAGTCAAACACTAAAAATAAGACATTAAATATGTGCAAAGTACGTAACTTGTTATATATATATATATATATATATATTGTTACTCTATTGGGATAAACATTATTTTAAGTGTTGGATTATCATTGCAAGTAGCCAAATCTTTTGAGAGGAAATCACATTCAAATAATAAAGTATCATTATTCAATACTTAAAAAAAAGAAAGAAAAGGCTTCCAATCAAGGAATGCAAATCTTCTCATCTATCTTAATAACATCAATCTCGCAATTGTTCTCTTCTTCAAAAATAGTTGGAGACCTTTAAAACTCCTTTAATTAGGGCTAGTTATGCATGCCTAAAGGCTCTCGATAGGATGCTCCCTATAGTTGGAGACCTTTAAAACAATTTTCAAAAAAATTTGATTTCTCTTTCACTAGTTCAAATTTTCTCTTATGGGTTTGATCTAAATATAGCCATTAGAAATCTCTTCAATATTGGCACTTAAAGGTGCGAATTGAATCATTATTGTCATGCATGATGGGGGTAACAATGATGGTGCAACTGTTTAGATTAGGTTACACAAAATATTGCATAGTACTGATCAGAATTTAGAGGGTCCAAGATGTCTTCAAGTTAGTAGTACAATAACTTAATAAAAATGACAAATTTAATGATTTTTTAATTAAAAATAAATATATTTTAATTCAATCACTATTCGGAAATATAAAGTAAAATCCAACTAAAAAGATCTTTGCGTTTGACAATTGGGTATATGAATTTTATTCATACACACATATTAGTTTACATTTATACAAATTTTAATTAAATATAATTGATGTCGCTTCATTTGCAACAATAAGCAATACAGTATATGCTGTATTAAGAAGTGACAGACACTCAGAAAACGTGCAGCAAACATTGTACCTGGCTCTAGTGGATGTACGGAAGAGAAAATGGATTTTTGAGGAGTGAAGTTATTGATTTGATGAAATATTGGGTGGATGCAATTGGGCTTCACATTCTAATAATGGGGTGTGCATGAATCACCTTCAATTCCTCTCCACATTCTCCTAATACGTAGTGCATGAACCAAGTTCACTTCATACTCATATCACCCCCTTGTCCCTTATCTTTCATATTACCATATAATAATTTGACATGGAATCAAATGTTGAGGAGATGATGTCACTAGATTTGTAATCTAAAATGATACCCATTATTGGAAAAAAAAAACTATGTCATTTAAATCTAATATTTTATAAAAGTGTATAGTGTTATGTTTTAGTTAATTGAAATCATAGTAGTTTAGAATTATGCAATAAATTTTCTTTTTATTGGGTATTAAAAGGTAATGTCAAGCATGATATATATTATTTTTAAAATTAAAATAATGTTAAAAAATAATATCAAGAATTAAAACAAACTAATTTTAATTGAATAATAATACTAAAAATACACTGACATAAAATTGTTACTTTATCTGGTTAAAACAGAATTATTTTGATGAAGGATAGTGTAATCTAAAATAGAAAAATAGCTGAGATATTGTACGGTCTTGAAATTCATGTTTTGAAAGCGAAATCCTCAGACAATTACTCTTACCACTCAGCTGCTAAAATTTAAGGGGTGAATGTTCCTTAACCACATGCCAATCACTTCATGCCATGTCACTAACGCCACAAAGGCCAAACTCACCCAACCTATCGTCACCCTCCACGTGGCACATATAAAGTGCTGCGAGCTCAATTATCATGCACAATATCAATGCACTCCGAAGAAGCTTAGACGGTTCAGATTCTCCTGAAGATCGAAACATCGCAATCCGAGACACGTGTACGGTGATATCGAGTATTTGAAAAACCAGTGATCCTACAGAGCCCCGCACTATATCTTTGATCCACCCACTCTAAACCTTGTTCGTTATCCCCAACACTTCATTTTCGAAGTGTCTCTATCCACGGCGGAGCGCCTCCACCGGAAAAACTCTCCGGCGATAGTGTCGGTTCGGTGCTCCGAACCTTATCCTTCGCCGGCGCGATTGCAGATTCAATTGCTTCATTTCATTTTCTCATTCTAGGTAAGTTTTTTTATTAGTATTTTTATTTTATTTATATTGGTTTAATCATGCTCGAAGATTTTGATCTAGTGGTACCGTGGATTTGATCATCATCTGGTTTTTTGTGGTGTAGTTGATTGAGTTCGGAGATTTCGACTTTATGGTGCGTCGGTGTATTAGGCTAAAGGTGGTGATTTGCATTACCCAGTGGGTGGTGGCACCGTGAATCGTTGAGTCAGATTATTGTTGTTTTCAATCATCAAAGAGCGAAATGGTAGGTTCAACATTCTATCATGCTATTTGCATGCAAATGCAGGTTATGATACATGATTTGCGGATGTTTGGTTCATCATGGTGGACAGTATAGTCCACCTCTGTTTTTCTTTTTTTTAAATCATTTATGTAAAACATACGTGAAATTGAGATACCATTTTCGAGTTAATGGATTAAATGTTGTCTTGTGCACTGGTTTATTAGTTTATTCTTATTATTAGAGGACCCTGATTTAGCAGTGTGAGGATTTTATAAATAGTTATGTGAAACTGCATTTTAATAGCTTATAAAATTATTCGCTCAGTGGGGTCATCAGAATAAAGAACTTCTGTGAGCCTCATACTACTCTGGTACTGTATTGGGGGCTTACTCATGAACTAACTTTCTCTGCTGGTTTGTAAGTTTTATTGTAAATGTAAAATGTCAACATGGAAGTAATGATAATGTAACTGATGCATAACATTTGCGTAATGTGTGAAATGAATTCTGGGTGTCATTTTTTTTTAAATTTCTTCACCCATCTGCTTCTATCTAGTATTTTAAAATGTAAGGGATCATTAAGATTTTAGAGTAGGAAGTTTGGTTAAAGATGCACAAAAACTTCATACTTTGATTAATATATGATATGTTATTGTAAAAACTCTTCTAATATCTTATGTTCATGGTGGATTCTGTGTTATATGATGTTAAGGCGTGTTCCTGGTTAACTAACTTTTGGCCTGTAACCCGTAACAAATAATATTTAATTTCAAATTCCATGCATGGAATACTCTAATGTATTTAATTTTTGTAGGGCTTAACCTGTGACCTTCATGATAAGTCAAGTAAAGCCAGTGTAAAAGTAAAAGTTATTTTTTTTTCTCAGATACACTGAATCTTTCATGGCCAGAGTTTCTGATTTTCCATCTGGTTAATTGCTACTTTTCTTAAAGACGGTTAAAACTTAAAAAAATTATCCTAAAATCTATTTTTTCAGTATTTTGGATCATAATAATCAATTATTGTCAAAATTCTATCTTATATATGTTAGAAAAAAAAAAGAAAAAGATTCTAACAGTTTGAAGCATCTTAACCTGTTAGTTGATTCCTAATCAATGTGATATTCCATCCTCCTGCTTTCATTTCTGCACAGGATTCTTGTTGAATGAAACTTTACTTTAGCTAGACAGTAGTTGGATTCAATTTTGTTGCTTAAACTTTATTAGTGGACCTGTTTTATTTAAAAATCATGATTACTGTGGGGCTTGAGTGAAATATTGTGATTGGAGAATATCTTTCCTCTTGTCTGTAGTTAATTTTCCCACTCTATTTGATTAAATATTAGATTAGGTCATAAATGTTTACTTTATTTGCCTTTAATAGTTTAAGGTAGAATATATATGTTTGAATTTTATTGATTGTAAAGACAATGCATTAATTTTCAGATACACAACGTTTTGACACATTAGATTATAGAAGGGGGTATGTGATGTGAGTTTGTGTCCTGACCATTATGTGTTGAACAAAATGGTACACAGCCAACAAGATGATTCTATCCATCGCAAGTCAGTGATGGGTTGAATTGTTCATCACATGGGATATGTTACAGGGTATATATTTTGGAATAAGGAAGGTCCAAGATCCACAAAAGCCACCCTTCCTTGGAGAAAATAAATGCTCCTAAATAAGTGTAAGTTTAAATTGCAATCTGATTCCCGAAATATGTGGATTCATTTTAATTTTGGACACAGGTGCCTCTACCACAGAAAATGTAATTTTAGTGATGAAATTATAATTCTCAAGATATTTTCTTTGCATCATTTCCAAAGCTTTTTCGCTATTGTGTTTATGGAAAGATCTATAGATTAAAAGTTTGTATTTCATATATTTGAGTCTCAAAGGATGTTTGATGATGGGGAACAATATGTTTGGTCATTTAAAAGTAAAACACAGCATATAACAAAGTGACATAGCAGAACTTCTGAGAATATTGTGGATCAAATCATGATGTATGGTTTAGTTTAGGTACCTAGATCTATCTTTCAAATTGATGGGATGTCATGCATAGGATTCGGGTTGGGTGGATGAAATTGAGAAATGCTTTGAGTGTAAATTTTCATTTCAAAGTGTCCGAGGAACATTCTACCAGACAGCTATACGAGCTGTGATGCTCTGTTAGTGAATGTTAGGTAGTGTAAAGTTTCAACAAAAGCCAAAAGTCAGTTTAGTCGAGCAAGGTTATCTAATTGCAATTCAAATTGTGAATTATTTGGCTGATAAAGTTTAGTTGCATTGCTTAATCCTTACTGACTACTCTTTTGAGATTTGTGATCATATATGGAATAAAGTTGATCTTAGCAATAATAAATTATTGATTGAATCGAATTTCATTTTTTATTTCACTGTCTTTTACCTACTGGTGCACTTGTTGGATGGGATGGGAAAGCAAGATGTTTCATGCCAATATGCTCCATATGTGCACTTATTTTTGTAGGTTTCTGTCATTTGAATATGCATATAAGGAAAGCTGACGAGCACGTTTTAGATCAAAATAAGTGGCTATAATAAGATTCTATTTTACTGTCTTCAAAGGTGATGTATTGATTTGATTCATATAAAAATATGTCCCCTGTTTGGTAGCTTGTACGGGTTGTATCTTTATAGCAAGGAGTGAGCCTGACCCTGCTTGCTGTGTATCTCACCCATCCTTTTTCTGGTGCTTCCACTTGAGACTCCATCTTTGAGTCATCCAGCCAGTTGGACCAAATGAAATATAAGTGAAAGCAGAACTGTGTCAATATTATTGCTGAAATAGGTAGGTAAATACACAAGGACAGAGAATCACAGGGTCCCCCCCCCCCCCCCCCCCCGAGGACTATTGCCTCTTGCTGAGAGAAAAGTATTCTCCAGCCTCAAGCCTTATTCAACTACACGAAACCAAATGCCTACCTTAACCCACTATCTCCAATAAAACTTGTATGTGCTAGAGCTGCTTCTCCATAACAATTCTCTTTCCTCTAACTGTCTTGGGTCCTGCAGAATTTCTTTCTCACTTATACCTTCATCTCTGCTGGGCTTGGTACATTCCTATTAATTTGGGGTCCTAACATCATCTCATACTTATTCATTAATAAATAAACAGAAAAAAGGTTGTGGCTTATGTCCCTAAAATGTCATGCTCAAAACTGTGTTGGAAGGACATGAGTAAATGTTTCTGAAGGACCTGTACAGGAAAATAAAATTTCTTAGATGAGAGATCAGTGATCTTTATGCTTTTAGCAAACATTATTTCCGAGTAAATATTATCTAAGACTAGTTACAAATTTAATTTTCTGGATTTGAGGTTGTATATAGCATGTTTGGGAATTGCTAATTTCTGGGAAATAAACATTTTTTTTTACCCAAAGGCTGTCTCAAAAACTAGCAAAAAAATCCCATTATTTCTCCAAAATAAGCAACCTCAGTATAAATATTCATTTCTTACTGTTTAGAAAACACCTAAGTGCAATGTATTGATTTTATATGCGATCATCAATCTGGTTATTGGTTTATATGATCTTGATGTTGATATTTTGTTTCAAGGATAGTTACTTTGTTTAAACTTCGGAGAAATTTCTGAGGTGATATTTACTTAGTTCTTTAACAGTGTAATTTTTTAATATTGCAAATTCCATCAAATAAGATAAACATGCTAAGATGTGATTTTTTGAAGTCTTTTCAGCATAAAAGCTTTTGGATGCTACGGGATGCTGGCTGCTTGGCTGAAGAAAATGTGGGATATGAGAATTCTTCCAGAATTGAACCAAAGAGAAGTCATCAGTGGTTTATGGATACAGGTGAGGCAGAAATATTCAGCAACAAGAAACAAGCAATTGAAGCTGTTAGTGGCAGGCCAATTTCAGGAGTTTCAACCGTGAATGTTTCCCAATGGGAAACCAATACAGGATTTCACTCAGTCACAGGTCAGTTTTCTGACCGCCTTTTTGGATCTGATCTTGTTAGGACTGCTAATTTGGTTGATAAGAACATGTCATCAATTGGAAGTGGAAATCCAAACATGGAAAGGAAGGATTTTGAAAATCAATATGGTAATGATCCATCTGTGGGGTTGTCAATATCTCATTCCATAGCAGACCCTTCAGCATGTTTAAATTTTGGTGGCATCAGAAAAGTTAAAGTTAATCAAGTCAGAGATTCTGACAACTGCATGCCTGCTGCATCTATGGGCCACTCCTATAGTAGGGCTGATAGTAGTACCATTTCAGTAGGTGCTGGCTACAATAAGAACAATGGAAATATTTCATTGGGCTCAACTTATAACAATGGAAATGACAACGCCATTGCTATGGGGACGAGAATAAGTAAGACTGATGACAATCTCCTTTCAATGGCTCACACCTTCAATAAAGGGGATGGAAATTTTATGTTGATGGGCCACAACTATGGCAAGGGAGATGAAAGTATCTTATCAATGGGTCAGCCCTTTGATAGGGGAGATGGAAATTTCATATCAATGGGTCAATCATATGAAAAGGAAGACGGCAGTTTAATATCTCTGGGTACCTCATATACCAAGGGGCACGAGAGCTTTATATCAATGGGTCCAACCTATGGTAAATCAGGAGAAAATTTCATATCCGTTGCTCCTTATGACAAGGGCACTGATCATATAATATCAATGGGTCCAACATATGATAAGGTGGATTCTAATATCGCACCAACCGTTCCATCATATGACAGGAGAGATTCTAGTTCTTTACCTGTGGGTCAGAACCACCACAAGGGTCAGAGCAGCACCATATCTTTTGGAGGTTTTCACGATGACCCTGAACCAAATCCCTCTGGTGGAATCATCAGTGGATATGATCTCTTGATAGGAAGCCAGAACTCAGCTCAAGGTTTGGATAGCCAGAAGGATTTGACTGAGTCGAACTCTGAATCACTTGTAAATAGCATTCCAAAACCCAATACTAAAAATGATACTGTTGCCAAGAACAAAGAGCCAAAGACAACCAAGAAGGCTCCTCCTAACAACTTCCCTTCAAATGTCAAAAGTTTGCTGTCAACTGGTATTTTTGATGGTGTTCAGGTGAAATATGTTTCATGGTCACGGGAGGTAAAATGTGTTCTAATTTTCATTTTGCTTTATTTCTGAGCTATTGTAGTTGTTTATCTGTGTTTTTAACATTTTGAAAAATCTGCTTGGCAGAAAAATCTCAAAGGAATCATAAAAGGAACTGGTTATTTGTGTTCATGTGATGACTGCAAGCAGTCAAAGGTTAGCCCTTTAAGTCACTTGCATTCTGATAATCTGCATATTCCATGTGATTGTGCTTATATATTAGATTCTGTCATGAAGGCTCTTAATGCATATGAATTTGAGCGTCATGCTGGTGCCAAGACAAAGCACCCTAACAATCACATATACTTTGAGAATGGAAAAACCATCTATGCTGTTGTTCAAGAGTTGAAAAACACTCCGCAGGAGATGCTTTTTGATGCAATTCAAAATGTGACTGGCTCCACCATCAATCAAAAGAACTTTCGTTTGTGGAAAGGTAACTAGAATTTTAGTTTGCTTGGTTGTAGTTTAGATTAAAATACCTGATGACTATGTCCTTGCTTAAATTATTCATCCTTAGGTATAAAAGCAACAAAAATTCTGCAATCTTTCTACTTCTAATCTATTTCCCCCCTTATCAGCATCATACCAAGCTGCTACTCGGGAGCTACAGCGAATCTATGGAAAGGATGAAGTGAGCATACCATCTTGAGTTCAATTTTCTTCTTGAGAACAGTGGTAGATATGTAATCTGTTCATAGTGAGTGAATGGCAACTTAATAGTTTAAAAGACTATTTAAAATTGAAAAGTTTTAGCTGATGCTTCTTGTAGGAACTTAACTGTTTTAATTATGGTAATGAAGATGTCTTTTTTGTGGTTCAGTATTATTCTTTTCATCACAATTTGCTGTTATCTTGCCACCTTTGTTAAATTCCGTTCAAACCATGTTCCTTTGTGAATCTTCAAGAGGTCCCATTTGTTAATGTCTATTTTGCGGGTGGTAACTCATCCCATCTCATATAATAAGATTAAGAAAAAGTGAGTTGTGAGGGTGGGTATATTCCTTGTACGTGTCGACATTAGTCAGTCAGTTGTGTATTTTTGTTGGGCATTGCAATCTACTGTAAGTGACTTACGCTACAGGTTAAGATTAGTTTCTCTGCTCATCGAGCGAAATTGTAGGATCTTAATTTGCACTATTCATAATTTTCACTTATGGTACCCGTAGGGATGTGTCAGGAACAAGGATCTAACGGGAGAAAGAAATAGGAAAGTGAAAAATATAGTGAAAAAGAGATTAGAAGGAAGTTGTTAAACTGTATAAAAAATAATCATAAGAAAATGAAACTATAATATTTTTTCTTAATAACAAATATCTTCAATTTTTTATATTATATAAATTTTATTTAATAAACAAAAATGAAAACTCACTCCCATATCCCCTATTTGCCCCCATTTTGGGTTTTCTTTTAAATGGCTCCCATGAAAAAAATCCCCTTCTCCTCTTCTCTTCTTCTATGGAAACATCTACATTCCCTTCCCTCGGTTACCGAACACATATTTACACCTTAGTTGACAGTGTTAACATCAACATCCTTCTTGGTTTGTTTTTGTCGTTAATATTATTCTTGTAAACTGGAATTAGTCTAGATCGGAATTGGCGTAGATGCACAAGTCCAAATGGCTAAGGTATTTTGGACATAGCTACAATCTCAAGCCCAAATCTCGTACAAAGTTACTAAACACTCTGTCAAACGTTGAATCGAGCCCGTTAGTAAAAGTCAAGCTTGACTTGAGTTTCGTTATTTGGTGATGCTAAATAAATCATTTCTTGTTGACCAAAAAAAAAAAGGATTTCATCATTCATTGTGCTGAACTACTATTTTGAAGTTGGAATCCTAGCATAATTTTTTTTAAAAATGCAATTAACTTTTTTGTGTCATTCTTTTAACTTGTTTGTTTCCAGGTTTAGTAGGACGCAATCAATTTTAAACAAATGGTGAACTATTATTTGTGCGAAAAAGTCGATGTACATGAAATGGTAATGATAAATTCTCATTTCCATAAAATAAATCATTTGTCTAATACAAACAAAATATATATTGTTGGCTTTTTATTTTATTGGCATTCAAGAAACCAAGTCTTACTCTTTATTTGACGAGTCCCACATGATACAGATTTATATAATTTCTATTAATTATAAAGGGCGTGTTAAAAGATATTAAAAACTGTTTCTTTAATATCTCATAAATAATATATACTTCTAGACACATGACAAGTCATGTTCGAATCATGTCTATTTCTCTCCAAATAAATATTAGGTATGATCTATCATGTACAAGACATCTGATTATTTTACTCGTCTCCCACATAAATGACAGTTTATATCATTACCAAGCTGACACATAGGATGGTGAACTCAATTTGATTGAAGAACCAGACCAGAGTTAATTTTGAATTGAAAGAAAAATATAAAATATTTGAGAAAAAAATAATTTATTGGAGAAATTGATGGTCATGTTCCAGAGCTAAGCCTCTGGAGACTGGAATTACATAGTCACAAAAATTATTGAAGATGCACTTCCAAATTACAAAGTATAAAAAAACTGTAAATATCGATGCATCAATTCAACCAGCAAGGCAACACACCTTTGCGTGTTCTATGCATTCGTGTGTTGAAATTCTTACCTGAAGCTTTGTATGAATAATAAAAAAAAAAACATAAGGTTCAAAACTCAAGCATATATATTAAGTCACCTTCCAACCATTGCTTCTTCAAAACTCAAAAAAGGATGCACCTACAAAAGCCTCAGTAAGGAAAGCTGATTGGTTCTTGTTGAAGGGCTTTCTCAGCAATCTCAGCTTGCTCCTTCTGGTGAACCTTGAGGAAACCTGTGGCTGTGGCCGCCGATGGAGCACGACCAACATATTTGACATCATCATAACCTCCCCTACCTACAGCTTTCACCGAAGATATAAGTCGAGGTAAGATGTAAGTGTATCCACCCATGTTCATTGGCTCTTCTTGACACCAAACAATCTCTGCATCTGCAATAAGCAAATCACAATGAAATTGTGAGACAATGAACCATATACAGTTTAATGCACAATAAAACACTACATACTTGGATATCGTTTAAGCTCTCGTTGGACAAGGTCGTAAGGGAAAGGACAAAGCTGTTCCACTCTACATATTGCAACATCCTTTGCATCAACCTTTGTTCTATGTTCATCAAGTTCATAGTAAATCTGCAAGCGATGGATGAATTTTGGAGTTACAAATAGCATGCTTAGAAAAATAATGGATACCCTAGACATAAAACTGACTGCGATCGAAGTACCATTAAAATTCATAAATCTAAAATCCACCAGATGAAAGAGCATAAAAACTAGTTTTTGTGAAGATGGCTGGTTTCTATTACGAGTACTATATACCTTTCCAGAGCAAAGTACTAAACGTCTAATACCCTTCTCAACATCTGAGTGGGCATTTTGGTCTTTTATGAGGCGCTTAAATCTGGTTCCCTGTTTGTCAAAACCTGGGTGCCCTTGAACATCATCAAACTCAGATAAATTTGATCTGCAAGCCTTACTACGAAGCAGGTTCTTAGGGGACATTACAATGAGAGGTTTGCGGAAATCTCTATGTACCTGCAAGAATAATAGCGGAACATAACTTTTAGTGATAAAGTCTGCATTAAATCAATTGAGGAGTGCCAGTAAAACACTCTTAGTTATTGGCTTTTTGATTTATTAAAAACTACAAAAGTACGAAAAACAAACATTAAATTAAGAGTGGGAAAGATTGAGACTCATGATTTATAATTTTCAATAAAATTTCACCAATAACTAAGAGTGTGTTAAAAAGAATGTGTTTGAGAGTGTTACTATCATTTTTCTAAATTAATTAACTGTACCAACCTGCCTCCTTAGAACATGGAAGAAATTAGCAGGAGTTGTGACATTCACAATCTGCAAATTACATTCCTGAATTTGTTTCCGAAGAGTTGGATCCATCTCAGGGATAATATAAGGATTGTCATCAGCCATCTGAAAGAAATTAGAGAACATTTGTTGCTTCAATACTATACAGATAAAATCAGAAGATGGACGGATTGCAAGCAACAAGACTAAAAGCAGTTTGAGAAGTTGCAGCAAGATAGCATCATTTACACGAGAAACATAATTTAAACTACTAATCTAAATTTCAGAAACGAGGTCCTTTTTCACTTTTCCCTTTTGTAATACGGAACACAGGTGGCAAACTCTAATAAGTATGGTTTCAGTTTCAGTGTTGTTCCTTGACATTACCCTTTGTATCCCCCCAAACTACTGCAAATATGCAAATTCAGTATTTAGAGTCTACTTGAGACAATGTAAGTAAAGCATATATCATATATAATTATATATCTTACGACAAAACAGACACAGCACACGATCAACAAAATACATTTCCTAAGTATCAGTGCCATTCAGTTCAAGTTGACAAGCAAATATCAAAGTAGCATCATATAAATCACTAGAGGTTACCAATCAACAAATACAACATATAGACATGAGAAGGACAAAAAATAGCCAAAGCTGGCAAGCAAACGATTTAAGCAGAAGGAATAATAGCTTAAATTTATTTTCAAGAAAATTAAAACATAGATTCAAAATCAGACCTGAAGAAAACGTTCCAATCTTGCACTTGAATGCTCAGGGCCCTGGCCATCATAACCATGAGGAAGTAACACAACAAGCCCAGTCTGCCGGAGCCACTTAGACTCACCAGAAGCCAAGAAATTGTCAAATATCACATGAGCCCCATTAGCAAAATCACCAAACTGAGCCTCCCAAATTATCAATGAATTGGGATTTTCCATTGAGTAACCCAATTCAAACCCAAGAACACCAAACTCAGAAAGTGAGCTGCACATTGTTTCAAAAGCTTCTTAGATAAGAGATAAATAGGGAAAAAAAATCATCAGTTCAATAAATGTATCAAGAGTAGATTCTAGAACAGTATCTTAACAAAGATATCAAACAGAAGACTGACTGGGACCATATTATTCCAATTTCCTAACTAGAATTATTATGAAATGTGATGTGACCCAATATTTTCTACACTCTTTTAACATTTCACGAAGCACGTTTACAAAACTTCTAAACGGCACATATAGTTTTACCAAAATATTAAGAACAATATAATTGACAAAACAATCATGTCACAAATCACAATAAACTAGTATTGGAAGAAGAGGGAGGGGAGGGGGAGAGGGGATGGAAGCATTATATAACTATGATTCAGTAATCAGGGTCAATCAATGAAACACATTTAGAAAGCATATAGATAAGGCACAGCAAAGATAGATTTCAAAGTCTAAAACAGCTATAACAAAACATGCCCGATCACTTTACCAGTAAGATATTAATCCAAAATTGCCTCGTGACTGAGGAAAAAGACAAAAACAATAACCATGTATATACAAATATATTTTACACACTTATAGAAATGTAAGAATCTTTACATATAAATTGTAATAACTACAGAACAGAATTCATTTAAAAATAATTAGGAAACAAGGAATGCATAACAACTGTAAAGTTAAACAGTATACTCCAGCTTTGTCACGATTTTGAAATACTCCAGCTTTGTCACGATTTTTAAATCATGTCAGAGCCAAAGGCATGCAAGGCAGAGATTTTATATCTCTGCAATGTAGGATATCAGTGACATAATAAAAGCAACAAAGCTGAAACAGGCAAGATAACTATGTGTAAACAGAAGAAAGATTACCTATTGCTAACAGTAAACATCTCTTCGTCTTGGTTCATTGTAACATGGTCAAGTGGGCAATATTTATCCCCTGTTGTCTGATCATGAACAACAGCATGCCGGTGACTGAATGTTCCCCTTTCAACATCCTGACCGCTTAATCGAACATGGTTACCTTCAATAAGCAAGGTAGCAAAAGCAAGTGCCTCAGCAAATCCCCAGTCAATATCTTCCCCAGTTTCAATCATTTGGGCACGTTGTTCATAAATCCTCTTCACAGCTCTATGAGGTGTGAAATTTTCAGGGATGGTTGTGATTGCTTTCCCAACATTTTTCAAGATCTCTGGTTTCACACTGCACAGGAAAGATCACAGATTTCATCAGTGGCATACAAACAATAGAAAACACTCTAGCAAAAAGAACATTAAATTTTCCATACCCAGTGTTTCGAATGCGTGAAAGCTGTTCAGGTGACTTGAAACCAAGCCAATATGCTGAAAGCCAATCTCTTCTTTTTGGAATGTATTCTTTACTAGCCAAAAACTCTTCATTTAGAATTGATGTGACCTTCTTGTGTATCTTGTCGATTTCATCTTGTGTCAGCTCCCCTGATTCCAAAAGCTTCTTCTGATAGATATCAAGAGCTGATGGATGGCTTCGGATCACCTATATTAAACCCACAAAATTGCAAATCAATTAACTTGTCCAAAAGCAATATGCATGCAAAAATAAGAAAAGCATTAAAAACAAAGGGCTAACCTTATACATTTTAGGCTGAGTAAAAGATGGTTCATCAATCTCATTGTGGCCAAATCGACGGTAACATACTAAGTCAACAACCACATCCGAGTGGAAAGTCTGGCGCCACTCAGCAGCAAGTTCACAGGCATGAACAACTGCTTCCACATCATCACCATTCACATGAAATATGGGAGCATCCAAAGCCTTGGCAACATCAGTGCAGTACTGTGAAGACCTGCCAGAGGTAGGATCAGTTGTAAATGCAACTTGGTTGTTGAACACAATGTGAATTGTCCCACCAGTAGAGTAATTTGGAAGAGCACTTAAATGTAAAGTTTCATAGACCACCCCTTGTCCAGCAAAACTACCATCTCCATGAATCAACACACCCATATTTTTCGTTCTGTCCACGTCATTTGAGTAATACTGCTTGGCTCGAGTTTTCCCAACAACAACTGGGTTGACAGCTTCCAAGTGACTAGGATTTGCCACCAACGACAAATGTATCCTCTTGCCACCCCTAGTAGGGCGATCATAGGACGTCCCCAAGTGATACTTAACATCACCAGTTCCTGTGTAGAGTCCAACCTCATCCTCAGGCTGAAGACCACCGCTAAACTCGCAAAAAATCTGCCGCAACGGCTTCCTAACCACATTCCCCAAAACATTCAGTCTTCCCCTATGTGCCATTCCTATAACTATGCTCTCAACCCCGAGATCAGATGCCCTATCAAACATTTCTTTCATGCCAGGAATAAGAGTCTCTCCACCTTCAAGGCCAAACCTCTTTGCAGAGGTCCACTTGGTGGCCAAGAAATTCTCGAACAGAGAACTCCAAGCAAGCCTGTCAAAAATAGCCTCACGCCTCTCCCTATTGTATTGGGTAGGGGTAGGAGTTTCAATCTTATCCCTAAGCCAATTACACTTTTCACGATCTGCAATGTGCATATACTCATAACCAATGCTTCCACAATAAGCCTGTTCAAGCCTTGTCAAAATGGATCTAAGGGTTTGAACAGGGCGATTCTCAGACAAGAAACCAGACATCCTCCACACCCCTAAAAAGAACTCTCTATCAAGATCAGCCTCAGTGAAGCCATAAAGTGCAGGGTCCAAATCCTCAGGAATTACCCTTTCCTCCAGGTTCAAAGGATCCAACTTGGCCTTCATGTGACCATTAACCTGGTATGCCCTCACCAACAACAACAACCTCATACTCTCCTGAATGGTTTGACCAGAAATCCCAGGTGAGGTTGAAGACTGTCCCACAAAGTTCCTAAAGAAATTGTCCCAAGACTCATCAACACTGTTGGGATCAGCTTCCCAAGCCCTTTGAAGCTCCTCCAAATACACACTACTTGTTCCATCTAAGAAGCTATCAGTTAACCTTGAAAGAGGAACAGCACGTGGAACAGGTGCAGCTTGTTCCTTTGATTTGAAAACCGTGGTGTGGAAACTTCGGTTCTGTGATGATGATGGAAGAACCCTTGCCCTAGACACAAGGTGTGTGGATCCACCATTAGAAAGGGTTCTCCTAATTGCATGCTTTGCAATGCTTGTTCCAGCTCTAAACCATGCCATGGCTCTATCACCAATATGATCCTTTTTATCTTCTCAAGGTTCCACCTTTGTAATCACAACACATCTGACACAACCATATACACACACCCACAAAATTGTTAGCCAAAAATATATAATTTTTGTTCAAAATTGAAGAAAATAAGAACACCCAGAAAGGGAAAAGAGGGGAAATGCAGTTTGATGGAGAATTTACACGGAATCGACGGCGATAAACGGTTCAATTTCGATGGATTGGTGTGATGAAAGATTGGTGGATCGGAATCAGAAAAAGAGGAACCCTAGTGGCGTTGAAGCAAAAGGAGTGAGAAAGAGTTGGAGAGTGTCATAATGGGAAAATGCGAAAATTCAACGCTTTGAATTGATTTAAGGTTGCTTTGTATTTCCACGTTGGCTGCGTAATCTCGCATTTCTCGAACAAAAGAATGTGTGCCCCTTTCTTACCTTTTCCTTTTTTCATGGATATTGTGTATTAATTATTAATTATAATTTTTCGAAAAATGAGAAAGGTTTACCAAAACTTTTTACATGGTAATATGAATGAATTAGAGTGAATTTCTTGAATTAATCATTTAAATATCAATATATTATTATGTTGATTTTAAAAATTAAATTTTATTAACGTAAAATTTTATAGGACTGATAATATGGTGATAAACTAAAATTTTGAGTTACGAGTTTATTCTGTAAATTTAAAAATTGTCTAAAATTTATAACTACTTTACTATATTTATATAACTTTATCTTATTATACTTTTATAAAGTTTGTTGTAAATAATTTTATGTGAATATAATAACTCTTCTTGCTTAGTTACGTTAATAATTTTTGTGTGGCACCACTAGTTGTAATGAATTTTGAATAAATTGGTTGAATCTTAAATAATTTTACAATTTTATAATATAAATAATTTATATTATAGTTTGTTAAATATTTTATATCTTTAATTATTCTATTAATAATTAATGAAAGAATCGTTAAATTAATAAGAGTAAAAAAAATGAATCACATGATTTTGTGGTATAACTATTAATTTTTTACTATTTATAGTAATTATTCAATATTTTTTAAAATTAATGCCATGACCTGTAAATATTGACTGATTTTTAAATCAATCAAAGAATTTAAAAAGTGTTTCAAATATGTTAGCATTGATTTTACAATTAATTAATGATCCATTGATATATTTTATACTTTTAAATTATACACCGTGCAAATTAATGTTTCAAAAATTTTACCCTATATAAATTTATAGTAATTGTACCATGTGATGATATTGGGAATTATTTATAATATTTAACAAAGTTTTATTATAATTAAAAAAAACTTTAAATTCAATTTTTTTATTTTTTTAAATATACTTATTACCCAAATTAATGGTGGTATTAGACTGATTTTCATTAAATTGATTAAATCTATGATTTTACAATCTGATAATTACAATCAATTACATTACAATGCTCTAATAAAACTTTATTATTAATTATAGTAATAATTCATGAAGGAATAATTAAATTAATAAAAAAAGCAAAATAAAATTTATAAAACAAATTTAAATCTATCTACATTGACTTTGTAGTGTAATTATCAAATTTTATTTATTTATGATGACTATTCAAATACTTTATAAAATTGATGATATAACTAATAAATGGTGACTGATTTTTAAATTAATCTAAGAGTTTAAATTACCGATAGTGTTTGAAATATACTACCATTGACTTTATAATCAATTACTGATTATTTTAATATATTTTTTAATTTATAAACAATATGAATCATTATTTTATAAACTTTTAATAAAATTATACTTGTATGATAATATTAAAATATATTTATTATATTCAATCAAGTTATACTATAAATTAAAAAAAATACTAACCTCAACTAGTAATAGTAAAATTTTATTCAAAAAATATTTATTATATTTTTATAATTTTAGTATAATAAATATATACTCTTTTTCATAAAATAAATTATTTATAAATGTTGAAAGTCAACTTTTAAGTCAATGTTAACAAAACTCTTTAAAATATAATTTAAATATCCTTTCATTTTCCTTTCTAACATTTTTACCAAAATTAATATTAATAAATAAATTTCAATAAATTGATTAAATCCAACAAGTTTGTAATCCTATAACCACAATCATCGGTATTATAATTTTCTATTACATTTGCATAAATTATATTCCTAATTACTAATAAAGAAGTTACTAAATCAATAAAAATAAAAAATGTACACCAAATTAAAATCAGTGACTGGTTTTCGAAACAATCAGAGAGCTCAAATTGCTAATATAATTATGAATCCTTCCTTGTCTATTTGTTTTGATTTCAAATTAACAATAAAAATATTTACTTTTTCACTTTACACATCTTAAATCCTTTTTAACCAACTTCGGAAAGCATATATGAAGTGTAATTTCCTGTGAAATAGCAGGGCATTTTCTCTTTTTCACCCCCAAAACTTATGGTTGTCTAAGATTCCTGACCCAAGCATAAAACAGGAACGTTTAAGAATACACTTTGCAATAGATAGAAGTTTTTTCTAGAAATCAATCTGAATCTAATCAAATAAGGGTTTTTTTTTTCTTTTCGTTTTTGAAGAGTCAGATTGATTACAAATGAAAAAGGAGAGTGAAGCAAATGAACTAATCACAACAAATCCAACAACTAAGTGGCAAAACACTTAAAATACTATCTTCAAAACATAATCTTTGCAGTTGGGAAATACAAGGACAAATACATGTTCCCACTTCTAATGTCATCAAAATAACTATAGCACCCATATGAGGGTAAGTGTTGAATCTGCAACGTCTGACTGCAGTTTCTGATTCTTTTCATGAACCACCACCACAGCAGGCTGATTTCTGACCAGCTAGACCCCCATTGCCTGCCTGGTCTGGTTGGTTAATCTTGATAGTTTGGGGCTGAACCACACAAAAACATACTATCATCATTTAGCAATAAGAAAGAAGCTATAATTGCATGCACTTCCTTCAAGAGTTAGCATTGAAAAACACCAGTCATCACCTCAATAAGTTTAAAAGCAAATAGACTTTTATGATACCAAAATTTAGTCCTTCTCAGAAAGAAACATCAATAGAGTAAAAATGGACAACAAAGTAAACAACATACCTCAGCCTTAGAGTCTGTGTCAGCAAGCCTTTGCTTGATATCTCTTGCTATTGAAAAGAAAACCTCCTCCACATTCATGTTTGTCTTTGCACTCTGCAAGAGTTCTTCCAATGTAAATATAATGAAGTCACATGTAATTAAACATTTAAATGATAATGAGAAGGTCAACCAAATTCTACTCACGGTTTCAAAAAACTTGATACCATACTCATCAGCAAGAGCTTGACCTTTGGAGGTAGGCACAGCCTAGAGGAGAAAAAATGGAAATTGGAATCAATGGATTACAGACAACAGTAATGTAAATAAAGATAGTTATAAACAGACACAAAGAATGTTCAATGTCATAGCAATGAGAAATGTGGCTTGTGCAGAGTCAATCATTTATCAGCTGCTTGGCCCATTAATTTAACTCCAGCCAACCAAGTTGTAAGATGTAGATAGAAAAGCACCCTCAGAGCTACATACCCTTTTACTTTCATCCATATCAGCCTTGTTACCCACAAGTATCTTGTTTACATTGTCAGAAGCATGTTGTTCAATGTTGCGAATCCAATTCCTAATATCTTGACAGAGAAGCAAGAAATATTAAAATGAAAGGCAGGCAAAATGGACAAAAGAAATTTAACAACAAAAGCAAGATTAGGTCGTCCACATAATTCAAACTAAATCACAGAGAAAGATTGTCAAAGGTAACACGAAGAGAATGGGCAGAAAGAAGAAAACACAATTTGATGAATTAGTGACAGCTAAAAAGAAGTATACAAGAAATATTCTCAAGCATTAGTGCATAAAAAAGTTCAAGAAAATATCAGAAGAATTTGAATGCAATTAGGGAAGGAGAGTACTATTAAAAGATGCTTCATCAGTAACATCATAAACGAGCAAGATGCCCATGGCTCCACGGTAATAAGCTGCAAAAGGGAACAACATTGTAAGAAAAGCTTTTCTTTCATCACAAAGTAGGACATTTATGCAGAGTATGAACTTAAATTACAGTCAATTCCAAACAAATTTATTATGAAATAAGACAGGGAGCATATTAAACTAAAATATTATGTCCTTTTACGCAAGTATAAAACAAGTTCATGTTCACTTTAGATTTATGAATTATGATTCATAAAATCTGGGATGATTCAAATTAATCTCCAAAATTGAAGGTTCCTCCAAAAAAAAATCTTTAAAATTAATCAAACTTAATTTACTAAAATTGTCTAACAAAATTAGGGTCTTATTAACATTTGTCTATACAGTCAACTTTTAGCGACTAAAAGTATAAAGCTTTTATTGAGAAATAAAGAATTTATTGCACTTTTGTACTTCTGATGCAATTAATGTTATTGTTTCCAATAAAAATTTGCACATTTAGTTGCTTAAAACCAGTCTAAAAGACTTCTGTTTAACAAAATTCTATGAAATAATATCCCTTAAGTTTTGATTTTCAATTATCACAAATACAACACCTTAATTAACTTTTATTGAATCATTAAGGAAGTTTGATGATTATTATTACAGCCACTATCTATGAAGTCTAACACTTCTAATGCTAAGTCAACACATCATCGGATGATAGCATCAAACAACTTTAAGTTTAAACACTCTCTCTCTATATATGTTTGTGTGTGGATGCAAACTAAATTTGTAATGTGTTGGACCATACAAACATGTATTAGACAAGCCATTTTGAAGAGGACAAAACAAATACCTGTGGTAATGGTTCGAAATCGCTCCTGACCTGCCGTATCCCATATTTGTAACTTAATGCGTTTGCCATCAAGTTCGATGGTTCTTATCTTAAAATCAATGCTGCAAAATAGAGTATTATAATATGAATTTATTTCCATCAACACACAAACACTCACACATACATATATATTAGCGTTTCTGCAATTCTTTATGAGTAGACAAAGACTAGATGAATAGACCAATCCTATAACCTCAACATGATGTGTGCATTAAGTATGATGTTCGATAAGTATGACATGCCACACGAACTCTAGGTGTTAAGTTCTTACATTCTATGTTTTTCAAAGCACATCAAAAGAAAAACAGGACAAATATTCCAGGAAGCCTTATTAATTCCTTGGAATGCAATATAGTCACTGCTGAATGGAGACATTGATACAAGGATCTTGATATCAACAATAACAGAATGCAATAGCCAGTAGATCCCATAGCATTTTCACAAAGGATAAAGAAAAACTAACATATACTAACCCAATGGTGGTGATAAAACTGGTCGTGAAGGAACCATCAGAAAATCGCAAAAGCAGACAACTCTTCCCCACTCCTGCAATTGTTAGTCAGATAAAAATTAAGAACAGACAAAAGTTCAAGTGATAAATAAAATTGACAAAGAAAACAAGGTGCCATGATATATATGCACACACTCAAATGCACAAATACAATAAATAAATAAATAAAAAGGTATTTCTATATGTTTTACATTTTGGAAACACAACGATACTGGACCAGTGGACCTTTGTCGTGGCATGTTGCACTTTGCAGTTGCACACTAGTCAACCTGCTTTTTAATTTTGTTCTTTTTTAAATATAAAAATCTTTTATAAGTTCTAAAACAACTGACCAAAATTTCAGAATTTTTAAGTAGGTATAAAATTTAAAATAACTACCCATAAACTAAGACTTATTTTAAGGATTAGAATTGCATCTTCAAGATGCCAAAATACATAATCATACGTGTATATTTATGTATTACGTATGGGGGCAAATTTATGCATTACATACATATATTTATATCCACACACAGATGGCTAATGAATACTCAATGACTCAGCAACAACAACTACAACCAAGTCTTATCCTGCTACAATGGTTATTAAATAGATTAGTCTACTCCATTGGACTCTACAAAAGCCATATTTTCAGGAACAACCATTTAGAGTAAGTTCCTTCTTTTTCAATAGATTCTCCAAAAGTTTTTTTCTATCTCTCTCTACCACTTCTAATCAAATTACATATCCATTTGAATTATATCCTTTTTTCTGAGTGGCGCCTTTATGGCTCTACTTTTTACATTACCAACTCACCTAAACTTGTGATTTTTTTATCATCTCCATAATAGGTGCTACTGTAACTTTCTTCCCATTACAAGAGAGAAAAGGAAACATATGCCATGTAATATGTACATGAACAGTTATAGGAAAACAAAGTACGAGCTTTTCTTAGCCTTGTGTTCACATGATCAAACCACCAGAAGTGAGCTTTCCTCCCTAAACACTTCAAAAACTTCACTGCATACATAATCTAGAGCTTTCGGCCACACCACAGTTAACAATAAATCTCCAAATTAAAAAATAAATAAATAAAAAATATAAAGTAAGGTTTCCTTATACAGTTATCAGAGACCAACCAGAAAATGACATTTAATATGAGTAAAAACCATAAATTGAAACGACCCCGTAATTCGAAACCAAAAATGGAGCATCCCAAATAATCAATTATCAACTTTTTTGTTCAGAAACCAAACAACTAAAACAAACCCAAAAAGCATTAAGATCTAAAATCTGAAACATGCTCTTTTATTTAAAAAAAAAAAAAAAAAACACACACACACACACACACACAAAATCGCAGAAGAAGGGTATGCATAACTAACCACTGTCGCCAATAAGAAGAAGCTTGATGAGATAATCGTAATCGGCACGTGCCCTCGCAGGTGGTGCTGCCATAAGTGCCCACACAACACACGCAAACTCAAAAAGACTCTCTCACGCACACTGTTTCTCTTTGTGTAAGTGTTGAAAAGCGAAAGGGGTGAAAGAGATCAAAGAAGAGAGGGATCGAAATGGGTTATGTTGTGTCCTGCTTTTGGTTTTGGGAGAGTATGGGTTCCTTTCTTTTTCTCTCTCTTCCTCTCCGCGTATGCTGCGTGGCCACTCTTTCTCTCTCTCTCTCCCTCTGCACTGTCACACCCTTTCCTTTATTTTATACATCTCCCCCTATTTCTTTCTTTTTAATCCTTGTTACTCATCATAAATAAAAAAAAGAAAAATTATTTATCTAGTAAATCTTTATTTGTAAATATTTTTTAGATATGATTTTACGTAAAAAAACTATTTTTAAAATTATAACTTTTTATTATATTATGTAATTTTTAAATTAAATATTTAATTTAAATTTTATATTTTTAAATTTATGATTTTCATTAAATTTAATATTAATTATATAATATACTCTTAAATTTTTGTTTATAAAATTTATTCTATTTTAATAAATAGCATTTACTTAGTACACCAAAACTTTACTAATCTATGTTTATCTATAATTTACAAGTATTAATATTTAAATAAAAATACTTTTAAGAGGCCGCTTTTAGAACTTATTTTTTAATCATGTCAAGTAACTTTTTTGTTTTTTAACATATTAAGCATTTACTTTTTAATTTAACATCCTGTTTATTATAAATGAAACAATTATTCCGACGTTTGACATATTCTTTTAAAAAATAAAATAATTGATAGTTGAAAATTTTTATAGCAAGTTTCTTAATTGTCAAATCCTCTCCAGACAGAGAACTTAATTTCAGTTTCTTAATTTGTTTCAATTGAACAATGGACGAAATCATAAATGAGAAAAGTTTATGAAAAGTTTTGATTTGGAAAATTTTGAAGATGATGGGGTGTCCCTTTACTTAGTTCAATCCTAAGATAAGAAAATTAACATTTTGAGATATAAATTTTAAAAATACTCAATAAATAAATAATGATAATTGAAATCGTCAACCATTATTAGTAACCGATAATGTTGAAGAAACTGAATTTTGAGGAAGTCACTTGTCACCCACCACCAATTGGTAGAAGTGACGAAAGTCTGTTAAGTAATTAGATTAATTATGGAAAATTAATAAGCAAGTAGTAGCAAAAAATTATGATTGATAATGACGTGGTGGTGATTGATTTCATGATAAAAGAGTGCTAAATAATTTAAACATGATAAAGTAAACATAATATAAAAGTCGAAAAATGTAAAACAAATCACTTTCAAGAATCATTTTTAAATGATAACTTTTTTCCACCAAATATAATAAACATACACTCACCAAAAATGATTTATTGTATATAAGTCATCAAATTATAAGAAATAAACTAATAATCCACACACCAAACACTAAAACACCCCTCCACACAATTATAAAAGGGTTTAATTTTTTTATTCCTTTATGCTAATAAGATCCTTTGATTGGTAACAAAGGAAACGATTCAAGTTCAAGTAGCTGCTTGAAAGTTGTCAAGAGAATAGTAGACAATAAGGATTTGTCAACTTAGTTAAGTAGAAGAAATCGAAAAGAAAAAATATCTGAGAGTAAAAATATTAGTTACTGATTACACGAACTAAACTAGATTTTAAGTATGGTTATTTAAAACCTTTCAATTGAGACCTCTTCCAAAAAATTTTCTCTACCAAAAGAAAACCTTCCATTGAGACGGTTATCTACTCCAGCAGAAACAAATACGAAGTTAAAAGATATTATAACATCTGATATATTTTTCATGGGGACACCATATCTATTATAAATCTACATGATATAACTTTTTAAACAAATTAAGACATGAATACGACAAGGTATATAAAATAAATATACGTGAATTTTATTTTATTTTTTACTTTTAAACATAATACATGTTAACAAGGTATCAAAATTCAAATAAAATATTTTGGTGTGTTTCGTATCAGTTTTTCTTTGTCACGTAAAGCTGATTAAGCAGTCCATTTTATTGGTTCCAAAATGCATAAGCTGTTGGAACAATGAAAAGAGAACAGCAAACTCGGCTAAACTCCTTAATAGCATGAAGGTTTTCAGTAGTATCTGGTTTGTCCATCCCAATTCCATGAGGATAACATATGGACACTGGAATGAAGATAGGCTCTAAAATCTGAAAAACCCAATAATTGCAATGAAGTTAGATTAAACATGATAAGAATAAACTACATAAGAAAAATTCACAATTAGGCATAAAGCTTAAGAAATACACCTTTCTGTCACCTTATCCTAGTTTTGTTATGATCCATCTTAAACATTAAGAAGAAAAACGCCGCTACTTCTCTCCTTTCTTCTCTTTCTCCATCAAAAAGCAAAAACACTTTAAAGATCAGAACATTAAGTTTCAATAACAAAATGTAAGAACCGCTCTTGATGCATATATCAGCAGACAACTACACAATTTTTAAAAACTGTCATTTATTACCAAAATATCCATGCTGTCTCTACTGATATTGAGGAAAAGTTACTGCCAAAGATTACATCTCAGATCGATTGTCACAAAAAACTAGCAAGCAGTCAACTTGCCCGAAGTGCTACTCCTTGTTTGAGGTTGAGACATTATTCTCACCAATAGTCTCCACAGGAACACAAACCATTCTTAAAATGATGAAAACGATTTGCATCCCTTACAATAATCTCCCTCTCTACAAGCTTTGATATAATCTTAATTGCAGAATGACAGTTTACACAAGCTCGAAGATTCTTTGTTATTCTAAGTGTGGTTCCAGGAGCAGTACTAATAAGCCCATAAGCAACAGCTATCCTCTCACTATGAAAACTAAGATTCTCCTCCTTCTCTTCATAATTCAGATCATGCAAAACAGATTCTGTATGTGGGATAAACCCAACCTCCTTCAATCTTCTTTCTAATCTCTGAAGCTCACAAAAAATTTCCTTAGCCATTGGGTGTGACTTGTCCCCTACATGAAATGCTTGTAGCTTCCCATTGATTTCAATTACACTGTAACCAAGGTCCTTACTCAATCCTTTCTCCCTCATCAGAACTCGAACATGTGCAACACGATCCCACAAACGAGAGGAAGCATAGAGGTTAGAGAGTTGCACATAGTGTCCTGTATTGTATGGATCCAATAAGAATAGCTTATTTGCAGCATATTCTCCTAATGATACACGACGATGGATCTTGCATGCGCTCAGAAGTGCTCCCCATACACTTACACCAGGTTCAATGGGCATTTTCATTATAAATGCACAAGCCCAATCCAGATAACCCGCTCGTCCCAAGAGATCAACCAGACAAGAATAATGCTCATTGCGAGGCTCAATTTCGAAGTCTTTCATGCAATGGAATAGCTCCCATCCCTCTTTTACAAGGCCAGTATGATTGCATGCTGTGAGAAGCCCAATAAAGGTGACATCATTTGGAAATATCCCCGCTTGCTTCATTGCATAGTAAAGATTAATGGCTTCCCAGCCTCGACCATGCAATCCATATCCCATAATCATGGCACTCCACATAACAACATCCTTATCAGAACTACGATCAAATACCATACGAGCAGATTCTACACTTCCACATTTTGCATACATATCGATGAGGGCTGTATTAATAAAAATGTCACTTCCATATTTAATCTTGCTGACACAGTCATCCATCCATTTTGCTAATTTGAGGGAACCAACTTGTGCAGTGGCTAAGATTGCAGACCTCACAGTGATAGAATCTGGTTCAATATTTCTCGAGATCATGTCATGAAATAGATGTACTGCTTCCTCAGCATGACCATTCTTTGCATAGCCAGATATTATTGCATTCCACATGATCACAGTCGGCATCTTCATTTGATCAAAGAAAGATCTTGCAACTGTCACCAACCCACATTTAGCATAAAAAGAAGTAAGTGAGATAAGCAAATCAGGCTCATCTTCAAGACCCATCTTGATGATGCTGCCATGAAGAGATCTCCCTTGCTCCAAGTCATCTACATCAGTATAAGCCCTCAGAACACTTACCAGAGCAATCCAATCTGGTTTCACATCAGTATTTCTCATTTGTTTGAACAGTCTCAATGCTTCCATAGCTTCCCCATTTTGTGCATATCCAGAAATGATGGAAGTCCATGAAACAACCGTCCGATCGTATAACTCATCAAACACCACTCTTGCCACACCAATATGACCACATTTAGCATACAATGCCACAAGGCCATTCTGCACAAACACATCCGACCCAAACCCATATCTGATTATCTGTCCATGAACTAGGCAACTCAAACCAAAATCCAACAACTCAGTACAAGCTTTAAGTATATAAGGAAAAGTAAATCCATCAGGATGCACTCCTTTCCATCTCATCCATCTATACATTTCAATGGTATCCCTGAACATATTGTTCCTTGAATAACTCCTAATAATAGCATTCCACATAAACACATCCGGGTTGCGAAATTCATCAAACAGCTTATGGGCATAACAAAATTGTCCAAGATTTGAACTCCCATTAACCAATTTGGTCATGAGAAACCCATTATGTTGCAACCCTGACACAACTAACTGGTTATGTATTTGATCAATGTGTCTCTTGTGGGTAGATTTATCAATGAGAGACGCATAGAAAGAGTCTGAATTGAAACAACGGTCAAGGTTAACGAAATGTTTAGGGTGAAAAGCTGATGAAGAATAACGACATTTGATAAACTTGAGGAACAAGCAAGCGGGTATTTCAAAAGCTGTGCACTTTTGGCATTCTGTAGTAATGGAAGATGTGCTAAGGAGTTTCGAAGCCATTGACCTGTGTCCATTATCTTTCAATATTTGTTTGCAAATTTTAATCTCATATCAACAAAAGCACTTCAGTTAGTTCAATTGATAACTAATCTAAAGTTTCTGGTTTCTAGCTTCTTGAAACTCTATTTCCTGTCACAACCTGTGTTATATACCACATTGAAGCATTTAATCAAACGCATCGTGGATGTGAGCAAGATTGGAAATCTTGGAGTGCTATGATCCTTTACTGCTACATTTAATGAGAGATCAAATAAAATAAAATAAAATAAAGATGGATAGAAATGGAATAAAAAAAATATGTTGATTGGATATATAAAATAATCAACCTTTTTGCTTAGAAACCAACACCCAAATAAAAAAACCAAAAAGCAAAAAGATCTAAAATCTGAAACATGCCCGTTTATTTTCCTGACCCACACTTTATGGAGCTTTATTATATCTTTTTCTATAATTTTTTTAAATCATTCACCCACATTTTTTTATAAAATATGTATTAAATAAAAGGAATAATTTTAAATTATCCTCTCTATTTTTGGTGAGTGTATTATCTCTATATTTTATCAGTTATATTAATTTTAATTTTTATATTTATCCACTCCAGAATAGTATGAGTAGCTTCACCCTGCAAGAAAGGGTAGTTAGTTGTATATGAACATGAGAATATCCCAATGATTAAAATCAAATTTGAATGTGAATCAACATTGTTAATGTGAAGTCATGTGGCGTGGAAGTGAAGTTACAAATTACCATTTTTCAGTCATGAATTGTCATTCTTTGAATAACTTAATTTAAAGCGCTAAAGGATATAACTCTATAACTCATCTTTGAATCGGGGGAGTTAGAAAGAAAAAGACAAATAAATAAATAATTAAGCCAAAATATAATAAATAATATGATATGATAAGAAAAAGATAAAAAAATAAATAAATCATACATTCATATAAAAATCTTAAGTCTTATAAAAAATAATGACACTTGAGCCACCGTGAGAACCTTCTAATTTAAAGCGTCAAAAGTCAGAACTAACAAACAGAAATTTCTTTTACAAAACTTCTTAAACAATTCCATTGGTGTAATTTGTGAAGGTGATGTACTAATTAATTATGAAAAATGTATACAAAAGACAAAAGGAAAGGAAGAAGAAATTTACTTTGTACTAATTAATTGTGAATAATCTATACAAGTCAACCTGAATGTGATTCAAGGGGAATATATATGTGCACATATACATAGAAACACTTATTTATGGTCTTGTGATTGGAATCAGCACATAACTTGATTGACATGGCAGAAAGAGTGGCAATAGGAATCGATTTAGGAACAACATACTCGTGCGTTGGTGTGTGGTGTCATGATCGAGTGGAGATCATTGTGAATGATCAAGGCAACAGAACAACACCCTCTTATGTTGCCTTCAATCGCACCCAAAGAATGATTGGTGATGCTGCTAAAAATCAAGCTGCAACCAACCCCACCAACACTGTCTTTGGTAAAATATTCTTAAACAAGTATTGATCTTTAATCATTTATTCTTATCATGAATCTATTTTTAGCTTCCAAATCTTGCATTGATAATAATTTTCACCACTGTCTTTCTTTTTTATATTTAATATTTTTAATTTAGATTCTGTTCAAATCAGATAAAAAGTGGTTGGAATAATGGAATCCTTTTAACTTTTTACCTCATCCTGTTTATGTTAAAAGTTTTTTCTTTGTTATTGGGCGTGAATTGTGGCTCTAAATTAAAATGTGAGTTGGGACTATTTGCTAAAATCTTACATATTATTAATTTGTTATTCATAACATACACTGCTATATAGATGTTTTTGAGAATAACAATGAGCATATAGTAAATCAAAATCTACAAAGAGGAAGGACAGGACATCTTTATTTCATGAAAATTTGGAAAGCATATATAGACCCAGACAATAATTTTGTTTGGGTCAACGCCTTGACAATAAAATTAATGTGCCCAGGTTTAATAACGCAAGGCCTATGCCCGAAATTTTAAAATAGCTTAAATATATTTTTGTTCTTATATTTTTTGAGTTTTTTTGTTTGATCTCTATTATCAGCATAATTATTTGAAGGGGTGTAACATGTTAAATTTGTGTCGACTTTTGTAGAATCACGTTAACGAGAGGAATCAAAACTTAAAAATTATAAAAATATAAAAGAATAAAAATATGTTTTGAGTCTTTCAGAACTTATCACTATAATATTATGCTGTTCTTTGTTTAGATGAAAAAAATGATGATTAATTTGCTAAGAGAATTCGTGTTCTTTTTCAACCCTTATTTAGCAACCATAGTGCATATAGCTGTTTGTTGTAGCACTTATTGATAAGACTTAAAATTATTTTGTAGATGCAAAGCGATTAATAGGTAGAAGATTTAGTGATTCTGAGGTTCAGAATGACACGAAGCTATGGCCATTCAAGGTTATTAGTGATGATGAAAACAAACCCAAGATTGTTGTTAATCACAATTCTGAGGAAAAGCATTTTTCAGCTGAGGAAATCTCATCCATGGTCTTGGCAAAGATGCGCGAGATTGCAGAAGATTTCCTCAGATCAAAAGTGAAGAATGTTGTTATCACTGTGCCTGCTTATTTCAATGACTCTCAGCGCCAAGCTACCAAAGATGCTGGTGCCATTGCTGGCCTCAATGTTATGAGAATAATCAATGAACCTACTGCAGCAGCTATTGCATATGGCCTTGACATGGAATGTTGTAATTATGGAAGGAGAAATGTTTTTATCTTTGATCTGGGTGGTGGTACTTTGGATGTTTCTCTGCTCAAAATTGAGAAAAATAATATTGAAGTTAAGGCCATTACTGGAGACACTCACCTTGGTGGAGAGGATTTTGATAACAAAATGATGAACCATTTTGTAAAGGAGTTTGAAAGAATGAACAAAATGGACATTAGTGGAAACCCAAGAGCCCTTAGGAGGTTGAGGACTGCTTGTGAGAAAGCAAAGAGGGTACTCTCCAGCACTGATGAGACCATCATTGAGGTAGACTCTTTGTATCAAGGTATTGATCTCCATTCATCAATGAGTCGTGCAAAGTTTGAGGAACTTAACAAGGAGTACTTTAACAAGTGTATGGAGCTTGTAGAGAAGTGTCTAATAGATGCTAAGACGGACAAGAGTAGTGTTGATGATGTTGTCCTTGTGGGTGGTTCTACTAGGATTCCCAAAGTGCAACAGCTATTGAGGAACTTCTTTGATGGGAAAGATCTATGCAAGCGCATCAACCCTGATGAGGCTATTGCTTATGGTGCTGCTGTGTTAGCTTCTAAATTGAGTGGTGAGTGCTGTGAGAAAGTTAGAGACTTGTCACTTGGAGAAGTAACTCCTTTGTCCCTTGGACTACAGACACATGGAGGAATCATGAAAACAATAATTCCTAGGAACACTCTCATTCCTATAAAGATGGAAGAAGTGTTCACTACACATGTTGATAACCAAACCAATATCTTGATTCATGTTTACGAGGGTGAGAGGCAAACAGCTATGGACAACAACTTGTTAGGTAAGTTTGTGTTGGAAATTCCTCCAGCTCGAAGGTTTGTTCCTCAGATTAGTGTTGGCTTTGAACTAGATGATGATGGCATCTTACATGTCTCTGCTAAGGAGAAAAGCAGCGGAATAAATGAGAAGGTTACCGTAATAAATCACAAGGGAAGGTTATCAAGAGGAGAGATAGAAAGAATGATCTCAGAAGCTGAGAAGTACAAGGCTGCAGATGAGAGGTATAAGAAGAAAGTAGAAGCAAGGCATGTATTGGAGAGACATGCATTCAACTTGCAAAATGCTATAAATGATAAGGATATTAGTTTGAAGCTTTCCACAGAAGACGAGAAAAAAATTAAAAATGCAATTGAATTTGCCTTAAAATGGCTTGAGCTGAATGTGGATGCTAAACAAGAAGATTTTGACAATAGGCTGAGTGTTCTTTCAAATGTCTTTGATGAAATTATTGTGAAGATGATAAATTGTGAGGATAATCGTGTGGCTTCTGCAGGTACTGGCGCTGCCTCTTCCAGTAATAGTGGAAAGCATCGCTGGTTAAAAATATTGGCCAAATTTGCTCTCCAGGCAGTGTATTCAGCTATTACAGGAAATATCATTGGGTTTGTTTCTATAGTTCTTGACACTCTGTCAAATTAATTAGTTGATTAGAACTTAATGAAGTCTTGATAGAGTAAGTTGTAACTTCAATTGGGAGAATCAATATGTAATTGAAGAAACGAATAGCTTCTTGTTGTAGTATGTGTTTGATGAACCAATGTTTCTAAATTTGAATTGAACGAACTTCATTACATACAATTGATTTTATTTCAAAGTTAGTTTAAAGTAATGTAATTTGTGTTTAAAATTATATCTTTTCAAAATAATCTATAATAAAATTTCGTATATAAATATATTTTAACTTAATATAAAATATTATGCTTGTTCAAAGGTGAGTATAGAGGCAAAATTAATTTTAATTAAGAGCACCTATATATTAATCTTTTTTATAAAATTATGTATGAATGAAATAAATATAGTTATATAATAACTTGACTTGTTTTCTGATTATTTTTTTGAAGAATGTTTTACCACGTATCTAATCTCTTTTTGTAAGGTTGATTTTTATTTTCCTTTCATTTTCTCATTTGCATATAGGGGTGTCAAAATAAATTTGGTCTAATATGTCGGCTCGCCTGTCCCACCAAATGTAATGTGTCAGAGTAAATGCTATGCTAAAATGTGAACCAACGATGAGTTGGATTAGGCTATATGTTGAGTCTAAATTTTATTTTTTTAAGAATAAAAAATAATTAAATATTATTTTTTATTAATATAAAAATATTTTTAAAATTTTTATTATTTATTATATATATATATATATAAATTTTTACATCGGATAACTCATTAATTTAATAATTCATTAACATTTTTTTTAAATTTTTGACATACTAGTCCTATACTCCACTAATTCACCCTTAAACAAATTGAATTAAAAAATTTGATTAATTTTTAAAAAGAACAAACTTAAACTAGCCCACTTTTAGGTGAGCATTTGCAAAGCAGAGCATGCTAACCGTTTCACTATCCCTAACTAAGCAGGGCATGCTTGTTCAAAGGTGAGTATAAAGTAGTTCATTAATTCAATAGTTTATTAACTTTTTTTTTATTTTTAGTTTTTAATAGACTAATTCGTTAGTATGTTAATTTACTCTTAAACGGATTAAATTAAAAAATATAATTATTTTTTTAAAAAAATATACTTAAACTAACCTGCTTTTAAGTGAGCTTTTGAAAAAAGCAGAGCATGCTAACAGTTTTGCTATCCCTAACTAGGCAGGGCATGGTAAAACTATTTTATAATCTATTGTGCTTCCATGTTTCAGTGTCCATATAATGTTAGTCTAATAAACGATAATTATATTTGTTAATATTTCCATACAGTCAAACTGCTTTTGTATTATTACTGTATTGTCAAAATTATTAAAACGTGATAAAATGTCAAAAGGACATAAATTAAATTAATCTTTCACAAATCATTTATTTAATAATAGTACCAGTCAAAATCAAATTTGAACATTAAAATAGACAAAACTTAAAAGTATTTATCAGAATGACACAATTTCAAAACTATTTACCAACGTGGCTAAAATGAAACCTAAAAGGCAGAAGAAAAACAGTAGTAACATATTTTCTAAATTATGTAAATTTATTTTTAAAAAATTATTTAATCTATGTAAATATAATGAATTTTTTTAATTTGATCATTATATGTGTGATGCATTTTTTATTTGGTTTCACTGAAACAATTTATGACTATATTTCCTTCTCTTAAGATATGCTCCAAGATAACTTTCTGATCTTTATCTATTAGCTCCTTCATACTCTTCACGGTTAATGCAAAGATTCAAAGGATAATTTATAATAATCAACCAAGCGTGGATGTCAAGTCAAACCATCACTATCACCATTGTCCCAGCCAAGACTAAGAAAAAGGGGTGTGGAATATATATGCATTTGCAAAACACTTGTTTCTTTGAATCACCACATAACTTGACTGAGGAGATTGCAATGGCAGAGAGAGTGGCAATAGGAATTGATCTAGGAACCACAAACTCGTGCGTTGGTGTGTGGCGTCATGGTCGAGTGGAGATCATTGTGAACGATCAAGGCAACAGAACAACACCCTCTTACGTTGCCTTCAAAGGCACCAAAAGAATGATCGGTGATGCTGCTAAAAACCAGGCCACAACCAACCCCACTAACCCTGTCTTCGGTGATATGTCTCTAAACCTGTTTTTAGCTTATGCTACTTTACGGATCCTGTTTACGCGTAATTAACATGCCTGTGAGTTGGGGTTATTTGCTAAAATCTTACAATATCTTTTTACAATAAATTTAATAATTTTCATACTGACTCTGAAACTAAACAATTTCTTTATTTTATATTTAATGAATTATAATTTATTATTTTATTAATTATTATAGATTAAATTAAATAAAAGGTTAAGTTTGAGTATAACTATTTTTAGATTTAAAAATTTTTCTCATAAATTAAATAAAAAGTTTAAATTGGTTGTAATTATTTTATTTTATTACATAGTTATTTAAGACGCTTTTACATATCAATTTTAGGTTAATTTTTTTTCTCTACAGAGTAACCGTTAACGAGAGATCAAAGCTAAAATATTATAGAAATATAAAAACTAAAAATAATTTTTAGTCTTTCAAAATTTATTAGTATAATATTGTACTGTTCGTTGTTTAAATGAAAAATCTTTAAAATATGAAATAATTTATTGTGAATATATTAAAATATAATATTTTTCTTTCAAACAATATTTCTTTTTCTATTTATATGTTTAATACCTAGATCTACCCCAATTTAAAGATAATTTAATAAATTTTAAAACATTATCTTTATTTCATACGATTCTTTTATTTAAATATTAAATAATTAACTTTATGTTTGAATTGTTCGACAAGAATTGTACCGTAAAAACATTTTTGATATCTCATATAAGCGAAATACTATCCATTGTCCAAAAATTTTGGGTCCATCACTGCGCCCAACACTTACCTTATTGAATGTCAACATTTACAATTAGCTGGAAATTTTACTCCTATTAATTATTATATGGTGTAGTAAAATTAAATATTTTAAAAAATATTGAATACATTTCAATTCTCCATCAAACATGATTAAAATTTAGACTTAGAAATTAGAAGTTGAATCTCCCAATAACATCAAATAAAAAAGCAAATTATTAATTCAAGCAATACATAACTATCCTAAGCAAATACATGGGTGTAAGCATTAAGTGTAAGATTTTTAAGTACGAGAAGAAAAAAATTTCCTTCCATTTTAATAAAGGCAAGTTAACTTGAGAAGATGAAATAAAGAAAAATAAGAAAGGAATAAAAATAAAGTGACAAAAGTTGATGATTTTTTAATCTTTGACAAAGTATTTTAACATACTCTTTTAATTAAAATTTATTGAAAATTAAAAAAATTGTGTGAAATTTACTCTTTTTTATTCTTAAATTAATTTTTTTTTTGTACTTTTGTAATTTTTAATAAATTTTAATTAATAGTGGAGATTGCACTAAAGAAAGTAGATTAGAAAATGTGGTGTTAGCAATTTTTTTTTTACATTTGTAAAGCTAACCATTCTACATATACATTTTAGTAAAATTTATTGATTTTACAATTTTAATGTGTTACACTATTTTTTATTGCTTAAAACTGTGGCTACTCATTGACTTTTATTATCAAATTATATTGACTATGTAAATTATGATAGTGTAAACATGGTAAATGAGTTGAATTCTATTTTGCCAAGCACGTGTGAAGTCATTTTCATTTTAAATTCCACATTTTCCTCAAACAAACACAATTAGAAATCCTGTTAGTTTATATTCTATTTCAGGAAAAAAAAAACGATGATTAATTTGCTAAGAGGATTCGTGTTCTTTTTTCAACCCTGTGCATGCATAGTGCATATAACTGTTGTTGTAGCACTGATTAATAAGACTTGAAATTATTTTATAGATGCAAAGCGATTAATAGGTAGAAGATTTGGCAATTCTGAGGTTCAGAATGACATGCAGCTATGGCCATTCAAAGTTATTAGTGATGCTAACAACAAACCCATGATTGTTGTTAATTACAATCGTGAGGAAAAACATTTTTGTGCTGAGGAAATCTCATCCATGGTCTTGGCAAAGATGCATGAGATTGCAGAAGATTTCCTCAGATCAAAAGTGAAGAATGTTGTAATCACTGTGCCTGCATGCTTCAATGACTCTCAGCGCCAAGCTACCAAAGATGCTGGAACCATTGCTGGCCTCAATGTCATGAGAATAATCCCTGAACCTACTGCAGCAGCTATTGCATATTGCCTCGACAAGAAATACTGTGGAAGAAAAAATGTTGTCATCTTTGATCTGGGTGGTGGTACTTTGGATGTTTCTCTTCTCACAATTGAGAAAAATAATATCGAAGTTAAGGCCATTGCTGGAGACACTCACCTTGGTGGAGTGGATTTTGATAACAAAATGATGAACCATTTTGTAAACGAGTTTGAAATGGACATTAGTGGGGACCCAAGAGCCCTTAGGAGGTTGAGGACTACTTGTGAGAAAGCAAAGAGGGAACTCTCTAGCACTAATGAGACCATCATTGAGGTAGACTCTTTGTATCAAGGTATTGATCTCCATTCATCAATGAGTCGTGCAGAGTTTGAGGAACTTAACCAGGAGTACTTTAACAGGTGTATGGAGCTTGTAGAGAAGTGTCTAATAGATGCTAAGATGGACAAGAGTAGTGTTGATGATGTTGTCCTTGTGGGTGGTTCTACTAAGATTCCCAAAGTGCAACAGCTATTGAGGAACTTCTTTGATGGCAAAGTTCTATGCAAGTGCATCAACCCTGATGAGGCTATTGCTTGTGGTGCTGCTGTGTTAGCTTCTAAATTGAGTGGTGAGTGCTGTGAGAAGGTTAGAGACTTGTCACTTGGAGAAGTAACTCCTTTGTCCCTTGGAGTACAGACACATGAAGGAATCATGAATACAATAATTCCTAGGAACACTCTCATTCCTATAAAGATGGAAGTAGTGTTCACTACACATGTTGATAACCAAACCAATATCTGGATTCAAGTTTACGAGGGTGAGAGGCAAACAGCTGTGGACAACAACTTTCTAGGTGAGTTGGTATTGGAAATTCCTCCAGCTAGAAGGTTTGTTGGGTTTGAAGTTGATTATGATGGCATCTTACATGTCTCTGCTAAGGAGAAAAGCAGTGGAGTAAATGAGAGGGTTACCGTAATAAATCACAAGGGAAGGTTATCAAGAGGAGAGATAAAAAGAATGATCTCAGAAGCTGAGAAATACAAGGATGAAGATGAGAGGTATAAGAAGAATGAAGAAGCATGGGATGAATTGGAGAGAGATGCATTCGAAATGAAAAATGATATAAATGATAAGGAGATTAATTGGACTCTTTCCAAGGAACAAGAGAGAAAAATCAACAATGCAATTGAATTTGCCTTAAAATTCCTTGAGGAGAATATGGATGCAAAAGAAGAAAAAAATATTGACAAAATACGGAGTGTTCTTTCATATGTCTCTGATGTAATTATTAAGAATCTCAAGTGTAAGGCTAATAGTGGGCCTTCAGGTACTGATGCTGCCTCGCCTTCAGGTATTCCTGCTGCCCGGCCTTCAGGTATGCCTGCTGCCTCTGCCAGTAAGGGTAGAAATCTTGGCTGGGTAAAAAAATTGGCCCACTTTGCTCTCCATGCATCTCATGCAGCTCATGCAGTTCATGGAGCTCATGTGGTTGTTTCTACAATTACTAACAGTATGTCAAATTAATTAGTTGATTAGAACTTAATAAAGTCTCCATAGAGTAAGTAGTAACTTGAATTGGGAGAATGAAAATGTAATGGAAGAAACCAATAGCTTCTTCTTGTTCTTGTAGTATGTGTTTGATGAACCAATGTTTCTAAATTTGAATTGAATGAACTTCATTACCTATGCAATTGATTTTATTTCAAAGTTAGTTTAAAGTAATGTAATTTGTGTTTAAAATTTTATCTTTTCAAAATAATCTATAATAAAATTTAGTATACACATTTTAACTTGATATAAAAGTGGTAAATTATTATGTTTGTTCAAAAGTCAGTATAAAGACAAAATTGATTTTGATCGACAGCGTCAAAATATTAATTTTTTTTACAAAATTATGTGACAATGAAATAAAGACAATTCTATAACAACTTGACTTATTTTCTGATTTATTTTTTTTAAGAATGTTTTGCTATGTATCTAAGAACTGGTCAATACGTCATATGTTGACTAGACTTATAGGAAAAAGATGGGAGGAGTCAACAAATGAAATTACATTATACTATCATTTATTTATGAATAAACTCTTAGAATAGTTTATAATATTATATCATTGAATAAATTAATTTTTAAAATTTGTAAAAGGTCAATTAATTATTATTATTATTTTTCTATTAACAAATAACAAGTCAATTAATTTTTAACTTTGTTAAATATTATCATTTATTTATGTTTTAAATTCTCAAGACTAATACGAAGGTTTAATAGTTTTATTTGATGTTCTTCTTTTTCTTTATTTGATAATTATTGTTGTCATTCTCATTTATTTGATGATTATTGTTGGCAACCTTAACATGACTTACATGAGCTATTCGTGTTTTCCAGTACTTGTTCCTGATTTGTGCATACTTTTCTTTTCTTCAAATATATATTTTTTTTTTAAAAATAAAAGAGTTATATAATATTTATTAAAAGAAATAAACGATTAAAACATTAAATTTAGGTTTGTTTATCATTTATTTTATTTTAAAAATTATTAAAATAGAAATAAAAAATTTATTTTCATTTTTCTTCTTTCAAGACTCAATTATCAAAAGTAACCTTAAACTAATAACAAAAAATCTATCTAATCAAACCGTTTCTTTTTTAAGAAGAAATTAATCAAGACCAAACCGTAGGGCCAAAAATTAAAGGCCCTTTAATTAATTAATTAATTAAACAATTTCTTGGCTCTGTATCAATTTCTTTGTAGTTAACAAATCATAAACTTTGATTTTCATGTGAAAAGATTTAAAGCAAAAATGCTGATGAAGAACCTAACCCCATCACCTAATTAATTCAGTCTTAATCAGTATCACATGAAAGTAGTAAGACAAATAAAAAATAATTGAAACACTGAAATTTGTTACTATATTTGTGTATATCTAAGATCAAAACAACAGACTATTGAAGTATCTGTTGGACCATTTCACATGGCACCCTGATTAAAGCTTGGTTAATTTCTTATCCTTAAATATAATAGTCATAATCAACATTAATTCTTAGATATTTCACTCAGATGAGAAATCAATATTAATTATGAGAAATCTTACCTAAATGACCAATCACATATCTCTTATAGAACCCCCCCCCTCCCTCCCTCCCTCCCACTACCAAAAATAAAATTAAACATGAAAACCAATCAGTTATTTCATTCTTTCTTTTCTTTAAATCTTAAAATTACAGTCATTGATATAGTGTCCTGGCCTGATTAGCCTAACCTTAAATATACCACTTATGATGTTTATATGAAAACATATTGTACCCAAAAAAATATATTAATACATGCAAAAAGACTGTTCAATTGAACATAAATGAATTATTACACGTGTACAAGTAGTCATCCAAAAGAATTTAGTATATATTTCTTAGGCTTTGACCAGGTGTTGGCCTTGATGAATTCTTTTCTTATTCTTACTCCAAAAACTATATTATATGTATATGTCTGTGTCACACTAATTAATACACACTTTGTCCATTTGCAAAGGCAGTGATTAATCAAAATCAAATCAAGCTGAGGTGAAAGAAATCAAACAGACGACAAATTTAGTAGTTGCTTACTCCAATTCACTCTGAAAGCCCGGAAGCCACCCTTCTCCATTACTTAACCTGGCATGGACGTTTTCTACTCCTTTCATACAATAAAAGAGCCTTGTCTTCTCAAAACTCTGCTTTCCTAATAATAAAGAGATTCCTTTGCTACACTCCAAGGAAATTAGCATGAACAAATTCTTTAAGTACCATTAATTATTTGCTACTCTCTCTCATCAAAACCAAAATTCTCTACCTGTAATTAGCTCTTAATTTGCTTAAAATCTTTAAACATCCTCTCTAGTGGAGCTTTTTATTGCTAGGGGAGAAAGACATTTGCATCAAGAGGTACTAAGTTTTATTTATTAGGCTAGCCTTTCATTTATGAAATTCTACAGCATTTTTCATCTTGGTTTTGGCCATTTGATTGGATTCTTCATCACTTGGGAGTTATTCCAACATGTCAATACAAGTGATTGAGTGTGTGCTTGGAAACACGTTGAAAAACCTGTAAACATGGATCTAACACAGAAACAACAACTTATAGAGTCCATGCACATTCAAATGTAAATCTAAACATGCCATGAGAGTATTTTTGCTGGTAATTCTATAGATTATTAGTATTTTTGTTGTCAGAGAACTCCAAGTGCTGCTATACCAATTTACAATCCTTTTTCTGTTCACCAAAGAATCTGCATTTAAGTTTAAATGCATGTGGGTAATTTTTGGCTTCAAATTGTTCCAATTCTCTATGATCAGCAAACAAAACGGTAAGTGATCTTCTCATCCAATTCTTGGACTGCAAAAAGCCTTCCTAAGCATCAGCAATATCATTTTCTGCAGATAAACTCCTTGAATTCATTGTACCTTGCATTAAACACTTGGTAACTTCAACTATTACTCATGTCAAGGAACATTATTCTCTTCTCAACATAGCCATTTGATTGAATAACAATCTTTGCCTTCTTGATTGGTGTGTAGGTGCCAATATGTCAGATGCTAGTCCTTACAACATTTATATTTCAAATATGAGAAATGCTCTTCCATCATCACTTTCTTCACGGCTTCATGGCTACGGTAATGATAATTTCAAAGCTATTTTAATTGCAAACAATAATAATATGTAATCTAAGTTACCAAGCTTTTGCTGAATTTGTTTGGTTATTCAGGAAACCATGAAGTTCAGTTGGAAATTTTAGAGGGTTCCATGCAGATGAACGACCTAACGTAAGTGAATAAATATTATCCAAGAACTTATGCAATTTGTTTTTCATGATCATTTTGTGGCTGTGAAATAAACGAATCAAAGTGAACGAAGTAGGTACAATTCAAATTTGGTGTATAATATTATATAATACGAAATGTGTATATATCCTTAGTTAAGGTTTCACCAGGTTAGGCTCGCCAAAATTGTGAACATTGTGAAATCGGATACTATTTCAATGTAAAATAATACAATGTTTGGTATAATCAATTAATAGTCATTTACTAAAGACAAATCAACATGATAATATAAGGATTGTATTCAAGTGTAGAGTACTATCATTATTTTATATCATTAGTTTTGGTTAATAAATACAAATCGACATGATAATACGATCAAAATAGACCAGACAAAGTTTTTCTTTCAAATTGTATTTGTTAAGCCAAAACTGGTTTGAAAGAGTTGTACATTTCCATGATGTTTCGTATTATGTTTATTATAGAAGGAATCCTTGACTATGGCCGTAGGTTGATTAAATTAAAAAGGTAATTGTAATTAACATTATTTTAAGATTGACGAGTTAAAGTGATTGAGTTGGGCATGCCCTTCTGTCCAAATGCGTTTCATGTTTTATTTTGGTCATATGCCTGAAAATAATGAGACTTAAATATGAAATTATGCATATGATCAAAATATCAATGTTACGTATTAATCCTAGAAACCCCCCCTAAAAATTTGAGTACGTGTTTGGATGAGCAATTGGAAACTTGAGTTTAAATAACTTGATCTTGAAAAATTAAATTTTACTTTAAATTGAATTTGTGCTTCTAAAATTAATTTGTTATAAAACCCTATAAATTTTTAATTCAACACAAAAGTTACAATTTATAATGTCTACTTAAAAGTAAGTTTAGAGTCAAAATTAATTTTAATTCAGTCTTATTAAACATGTTGACGCAATGATAAAAGAAAGTGTGTTGGCATATATTTACATGATTCTGAAGAGATCTAACGGTGTTAACAAACATGCATTTAGGGTGTTTTTGGTTTTTTGTCAAATCCACTCAAACGTGAATCTATTTTAACGCTACAAGTTATAGTTTTCATATTAAAACATGGTTTAACATCTTATTAGGTTTTCAAACATGCACTTAATTAATTTTATAAATATTACAAATCCCTGTCCTTACAGTTTCTTTATTTGTAATACTCTCTTTAGGGGTCATTTTCATAGCAATGGCTTCAACATGGAGTCTAGACTATTCAATAATGACAACCAATTGGGTAAAGCAGTCTACACACAGCCTAGCCAGTCTCAGTCTCTGATTTATGATAACAATCATCAACCAGGTTTGGTGCATTTCCTTTTCAATACTAGATATTAGGAGCTCCTTTTTATATACCAACTCTGCTTATTATATGTTCACTTTCCCTAGTCCCAATGCCTATGGAAAAATAATTTGTATCTTAGTGAAAACTATGAAAATTTCAAATAATTGAAGACTAAAGCAACGTACTGTTAGACAGGTAGTCTATATGCCATCTCAAGCAGCAAAGATATTTCTCAGCAATCACTGTTACTTGACAAGGACCTTTATCTTTCTCAATATGAAGGAGTACGTCAATGTTTGGCTCTATTGTAATTGAATCATCTACAAAATGAAATTTCAGTATTTTACATTATAAATTTCCAACATATATGATTTTTTTGTGTGAAATTTATTTTCATAATTGTTTTAATGGAAAAGTATTTGGAAATCTTAATCTGAAGTCAATATGGTGTTTGCAGGTCAATGGAAATGCCAGAAAACGTCCATTTCAGTACTCTGACAACATGTCCTTGTGGAAAAAGATGAAAAGTAATTCCAAAAGCAAAATTACATTCTTGGAACCAAAATGGCATCAGACAAAAGAAACTTCTGAGATAATCCCTCGGCATCAAGTACTAAAATAACAAAGCCACTTTCTTGTACTTTATTAATGTTATTGTTGAATTAGAAGTAAAACTTGTGTACTAAACGTAACATGCAAGCTTTCAGTTTTTCAAAGGGAGTAAAGAAACTTTTCGTTTTATTAAAGAGTAAGACTGTAAGAGAGATACAAGTACATAATAATTTTGCAAGGAATATAGAATTATAAGCTATTGTTAGATTTTTACGTTTTGCTGATTAAATTAGGCACTAGGAGTTGTTGCATATAAGCGTAAGCCTATTATTTTGTCCACTTTCGCTTTCAGTTGCATGTGCCTATGAGGAGAAATCAGAAGCTAAGCGATAAAGTTACTATTCTTCAAAAGTTGGTTTCACCTTTTGGCAAGGTGAGTGAATCATGATTGCATCAACAAAAGTTGGATTCTTCATATTTTACTAGTTAATAAACATCTTTAATTTTAAGAGAATAACCTTAGGTTTTTGGATATCCTGCAGACTGACACTGCTTCAGTTCTTCATGAGGCTTCTCTTTATATAAAGCTTCTTCAAGCACAAATCCAGGTACATATTCGGTACTCCTATCTCTGGGCCGAAATATATATTACCAAGGACTAAAAATAATGCTATGTCATAAGAATACTTTCCCTTTTTCTTGTTTTTCTTTTGGGCTGAAACTATACTACATGAGTTATGTGGAGATTTGAACAGCTTGTTCTCGACAGTATTCTAATATACTTTTCTCCTTTTTCGTCTGGGGTTCTAGACATTGTTTCAGATGCTGAGTTTCTCTTACACTAGTACGACTAAAGTCCCTCATATGCAGGTTGATTATTAATATCATGCTGTACAATTACTTTCTCACTTAATAAATGCCAACATATATCGAATATAAATGAGATATATTATCTTTTATTTTATTTTTACTTTCATTCTTGCCTGTCTCTGACCATTTTGTTTATTAACTGCAGGCGTCACATCAGGATTGTGGGGACAAATTGCTGGTTGACCTAAGGAGCAGAGGACTTTGTTTGGTCCCCATATCAATCACACAGACAGTAACAATGGAAGACCAGATTCATCATGCTTCAGCCTCAAGAATTATTCTACCCTGAAATTTCTAATTCAACAAGAGGAACAGCATGATGCTGGCCATGAACGCTATAGGGAGATAGTTCCTTTATAACCATATTGTAAAAAGTTCCGGCAGTACTTTGATATAGTGCTAGTAGTAATTATCTCTTAAGATTTTCTGAGGACTTGCTCAAATGAAATTTAAATAAAATTTCCCTCATGAATAAAACAATTGACTGCATATCATCCGTTGTCATTAGGTTAATTTCCTGCCATTTTACATCAATTTGAACATTACTTACCAAAGGTGTTTAAGAGCATGCCTGCCTTCAGGAAATAGGACTTGAAATCACGTGTTTGTACAGCCCCATAAGCAAAACTGAAGAGAACAATGCTACACTTCCATACATGTCAACAAAAATTAAGTATAATTGTTATGTGGCTACGAGTTCCAAATTTGTAATTGACAAAGTTAAGATTTATTCATATCCAATTATATCTTTTTTCTTTTTTTGGCGAAGTGAAGGGGCCAAAGGCCCCAAAACCAAATACTGAACAAAGTTCTGGAGCTATCAGCTAGACAAGCAATGGAAACAGCAGTATAACAAGATGAGAGACGCCATTTATATGAGAATGAGGTGCCTATTTAAGATTGTTATTCGAAAATTTCCATATATTCCACTAGTACAAGATTGTCAAAGTACGACTTGCATGCTCAATGTGGATATACGACAAAATTTTTGACATAGCTTGAAATTTGAATTCACTGGTTAATCCCACGCGGAGTAAAACAATCATTAATTACAGAATATTTTATTTTGTAAGCTTTATTCTTCAAGCTTTCAGTCACAATTTTATTTTATCCTATTTCCAATGAAATGTTAAAAGAAAGCCACAGCCACAAAGTATTATTACCCTGTCTCTTCCAACAAAATACCAAAGCCAAAACCAATGGTAAAAGATGTTTATACATCGGTAACCAAATAAGCCAACTTCACAATACGGAGTCACAATTATATTCAACTATCGAGTAAAATGTCCAGTTATCAAGATCACTATATTTATATTTATAAGTTCCCACATTTTGATTGGTGCAATTTGTTTCTCATCAACACAAGCCCAAAACCACACTACCAGCACTTTACAGCTAATCACAATCGTCAGAAATTACATTGAATATCAACCTGCCATGTTGTAGTCGCCTGCTGGCTGGTATAAGTTGTAGCTCTCAGGTGCTTCCATTTTTCCGGTAAGATAGTCACTCCCTGGGAAAATTAAAAACGGTCTAGATTGTCAAATTCTTTAATAAAGAAAGGCTTATGTATATAGATAAATAAATAATGCAGAATTTGTTATTTTCACAAAGCCAAAGCTCCATTACTAGATTTCATAATCTAGTTAAATTCAAACACAAGAAAATGAAATTCATCAAAATGGTTTCTAGACTATGCGAAGTATAGCGCATGGGGATCTATAAATGAATAGTGTTGTAATATATGAGGGAAAAAACTCAAATGCGGGAAGTACATTATACAAATACTTATGCTGGTTAATGACTTGCCCACCCTTGCAGAAACTTAACAAAATTTCTAGTACTGCATTAAGTACCAATTTCCACTGCAAAAGTTAATTTGTGTGCTATTCCAAAATCATCACCGAATTGGAGAGGGAGGATATATTAGTCGTGATAATACTTAAGGAAGTGGTGCTGACATTTTCAAAACCTCCTTTGTAGGACACACAAAGTAATTCAGTTACAATTTTTTTTGTTTACTTTGTTTTAATGTGTTAGCCGTATCAGTTATGACTACATTGCATGGGGTAATCATAAATCAGTTGACTAACAGATAGGTATCTCTTATAAGTTAAATCTAGGAACTCAAAGCTCCGTTTCAAATTTTGGCTCATTTATAAATGAGTCAAGATTGAGCTCTACATGTTCAACTATTTAACTTGTGAGCTATCTCAATGTATAAAAATACAGATAAATTTTAATTTGACTAAATTATTTTGTCAACCAAATATATATATAAAAAAACACAAATTTTACTAAATTATAAGTTCAAGCCTAACTCATTAAGCCAAAAATACTCAATTAATGCAACACTCAATATTGGCTCATTAAGCTTGAGCCAAAAATGGGCTCAATTTCTTATTGGAATAAGCTTGGACTAGGCATAACTTCAGTTAGCTCGATTCACTTCCAATTTATAAAATTAGAGAAAACTAATCTTACTTTTACTAGACTAACAGAAACAAGTATAGGAAGAAAGCACAGGAAGTTACATACTTGAGTTTGATAGCATCCCATCAAAAGCAGGCACATGAGTGGATCTTAGACTACCATCAGATGAGAATACAGAATCTGGTTTATTAGACTCTGGATTCAAGTACTGCAAATCATTAGGATTCTGGAAGCACAAATTATCAGCAGGCCCCATAGTAACACTAGGCCGGGACTGAAATTCGTCCGGTTTCGTCTTCTTATCCTTGGAATCAACCTCAGCCTCCATTTCTGATTCAGTATGAACACTGGATGCCACATTCTGCTGCTTTCTCTTGGAGCGAGCACGCCTGTTCTGGAACCAATTATAAACATTAGTCTCAGAAATTTGGCCATGCTGGCTGAGTTCAGCAGTTATCTCCTTGATCTTCTCCTTGCTGGGAGTCCCAGTCCCCTGATCAAATATCCTTTCCAGAATCTGAAGCTGCACCGCCGTCGGCGTCCACCGCTGCCTCGAAGTTAATTTATGGCCAGCAGACGCCACCAATGGATCACAATACATATTTCCTAGCCTAATCCCTGACAATAAAAACTCCAATTGATTATCTTCATTATTAACAAAGATGCACTTTCAATGAACAAAGGCTAATCATTAACACTGAAGTTGGACTCTTCACTAATTTAGCTTATATGTTATACATTGCATATGGCAATTGGTAGCACAGAAGGAGCAAGAAACAATAATCCAATTAGAGTTAGGGTAACTGAAATTATAACTAACATAACTGACATTATAACTGATTCTAACTAACTAATTCATGACAGTGGATAGAAAAAATTGAAGATGAATTGGAAAATGACAAGAACCTGCGAGATCTTGATGAGCAGAGATGGTTTTGTGCATCTCGATGAGTTGTTCGCAAATTGTTGCGTAAACAGCAATTTGTTTGCGCAGAGTTTCGAGTTGTTCATCGGTCATAACTTTGACGTACATCATTTCCGCGTTCCCGTTGGGTTGCCAACGCTGCTTCTGCCATTCCATCATGTTCACCATCTCTTTCTGCGCACACTGACACACGTGTCAATTTATTTCCCATTTTTTGAATTTTTTAATTGAAAAAAGAAAGAACCCTAATCATGAAACGACAAAGCTTAAAAGGGAAAGAAAGAGATCGGTGCAGAGAAGAGGGAGAAATCTGACATGAAAGCAGAAACCGTTCGTGTCAGCAGCGTATCTTAGCACTTGGCAGCGACTAGAAGCTGTGTCGGCGGCGTACGATGCGGTAAGAGAATAATATGAAGATGCAGAACGAGGATAGGGTTTGTCATATTCAAAACTCCTCAGGGATATTCTTGTCCAATGAAAATACACGCCACAAAGGAAATTGATTTTTTTTTAAAATTTGATTTTTTGAATATATATTTAAGGATAGATATTAAGAATTTTTGAATAAAAATATTTATGATCGCAATAATTATGAACTTGAATCATAAATTCGTAATGAACATTGAAAAGAGAAGTCACAATGAGGTTGAGAAGCATGGTAGCGAGATGTTCAATTCACACTCACCATGTTCATACCCACGCCTCTGCAATTTCTCCGACCATTAACACCATTACACAGAATTACACTCACCACAACTACTACCTTCACCTTCTTAGTTCATGCAAACACTTGAACCCTCTGCTCCAAATCCATGCCCGTTTACTTGTCTCTGGCCTCCAACAACTCAATTCTATCACAAACCCATCACTGATTCTGTGGAACTCAATGATTAGAGCTTATTCTAGAATCCATCTGTTCCAGAAAGCAATATACTTGTATCATAGAATGTTAGAGATGGGACTTGAACCTGACAAGTACACGTTTACCTTTGTTTTGAAAGCTTGTACTCGCGCTTTAGACTTCCATGAGGGTGTTGCCATTCACCAAGATATAGTTTCCAGGGAGTTAGAATGTGATGTCTTTATTGGGACTGGACTTGTTGACATGTATTGTAAGATGGGTCACTTAGATAGTGCGAGTAAGTTGTTTGATAAAATGCCCAGGAAGGACGTTGCTTCTTGGAATGCCATGATTTCAGGTTTATCTCAGAGTTCATGGCCTTGTGGAGCACTGGAAATGTTTTGGACCATGCAGATGGAGGGTGTGGAGCCCGATTCTGTGAGCATCTTGAACCTGGCTCCGGCTGTTGCTAAATTAGAGGATGTTGATTCTTGCAAGTCTATTCATTGTTATGTGGTTAGAAGATGTATTTTTGGGGTGGTTTCTAATTCTTTGATTGACATGTACTCTAAATGTGGTGAGGTAAATTTGGCTCGTCAAGTTTTTGACCAGATGCGGCATAATGATGATGTCTCATGGGCAACAATGATGGCTGGATATGTACATCATGGTTGTTTCTTTGAGGTTCTTCAATTACTTGACAAAATGAAACAAACAAATATTAAGATGAATAAGGTATCAGTTGTAAATGCCCTTTTGGCAGCTGCAGAGATGAGAGACCTAGAGAAAGGGAAGGAAGTTCATAATTATGCTTTACGGGTAGGGATGATGTCAGATATTGTTGTTGCTACTCCTATTGTGAGCATGTATGCAAAATGTGGTGAGTTGAAGAATGCTAAAGAATTGTTTATGAGTCTTGAAGGAAGAGATTTGGTTGCTTGGTCTGGTTTTTTATCAGCTCTTGTCCAAGCAGGATATCCTGAAGAAGCATTGTCTATATTCCAGGAGATGCAAAATGATGGCTTGAAACCAGATAAAGCTACTCTGACGAGTCTTGTTTCTGCGTGTGCAGAAATTTCAAATCCTAGATTAGGTAAGATTGTGCACTGCTATGCTACTAAAGCAGAGATGGAGTCCGATATTTCAATGGTAACAACCCTTGTCTCAATGTACACTAGATGTGAATTATTTATGTATGCTATGATATTATTCAACAGATTGCAGTACAAAGATGTTGTGGCATGGAATACTTTGATAAGTGGATTTACCAAATGTGGAGACCCACATCTTGCCTTGGAAATGTTCCATAGATTACAATTAAGTGGGATTCAGCCAGATACAGGAACCATGGTGAGTTTGGTTTCAGCTTGTGCCCTTCTGGATGACCTAGATCTAGGAATCTGCTTTCATGGAAATATTATAAAGAGTGGTTTTGAATCTGACATTCATGTAAAAGTTGCTCTAATAGACATGTATGCCAAATGTGGGAGCCTTTGCTCAGCTGAAAATTTGTTTCACTTAACCAAGCATGTAAAGGATGTGGTATCTTGGAATGTGATGATTGCAGGGTACCAGCATAACGGATGTGCCAATAAAGCAATTTCCACTTATAACCAGATGAAATTAGAAAGTGTAATGCCTAATTTAGTCACATATGTGACAATCCTTCCAGCTGTATCATATCTGTCAATACTAAGAGAGACCATGGCTTTTCATGCCTGCATAATCAGAATGGGATTTATATCTAGTACCCTAATCGGAAACAGTCTCATAGATATGTATGCTAAATGCGGACAACTCAATTATTCTGAGAAATGCTTTAATGAGATGGAAAATAAAGACACTATCTCATGGAACGCAATGCTTTCAGGCTATGCTATGCATGGTCAAGGTGAACTTGCCCTCGCCCTTTTCTCACTTATGCAGGAGACTCATGTCCATGTTGATTCTGTTTCCTACATAAGCATATTATCTGCATGCAGACATGCTGGTTTAATTCAAGAAGGAAGGAACACTTTCCAGTCCATGACGGAAAAACACAATTTTGAAGCCAACATGGAACACTACGCCTGCATGGTTGATCTTCTAGGCCGTGCCGGTTTATTTGATGAAGTTATGAGTTTAATTCATGAAATGCCAACAGAACCCGATGCTCAAGTTTGGGGCGCCCTACTAGGAGCATGTAAAATGCATTCCAATGTGAAGTTAGGAGAGGTTGCCCTCCATCACCTCCTTAAACATGAACCAAAAAACGCAGTTCATTATGTAGTTTTGTCAGATATATATGCTCAATGTGGAAGGTGGATTGATGCCAGAACGACAAGATCAAACATGAATGACCATGGATTGAAGAAAAGCCCTGGATATAGTTGGGTTGGAGCTCATAAACAAGCTGCATACCTTTCTACCAAGTAACAAATCTCATCCACCATTAGCATGATCATAAACAAATAGAGAAGAATTTTTCATAAGTATTCTTTGTACATTACAATTTTTGTAGATATAAATTGTAACCCTTCATTTTATATTTACATGTAAAGCTACAAATTGTCCAGCTTTCAGATTCTTATATCTTTCAAGAAGATTAATGTTATACACCTCAAAAAACTATCCTCCTTAATACAAAATTTGTGAGAAGTACAAGTAGCTTAAAAAACGCATAATAATTCAAACACGTTGCATCTCCAAGCCAAAAACACCTTCTCTTGTGATAACAAAGTCTGAAGAAGAATGTGGCAAATGAGGAGCAAACACAACGCTCATTCTCCTCGTTTTCAATGGATGATGGTTCCCATCAACCACAAACTCATCCTTTGACAAAAAAAGTCTCGAGTTAACGCAATGGGCCCAAGCCAGGCCCAAAGCAGGGCAAACCCGTCTACCAGACGAACAAAGCCCACCCAAATTCCCAATCCTCACATCATCACCAATCAAATCAACCACCTGGTTCGTAACCACCACCGCCAGCCCATACTTCTTCGCCAACCATCTCAATCCCCCTGAAATCTTGAAAAACAGCGACGACCTTCGCCGGAGGTCCCAACCGGTGTTCTCGAAATCGGAGCGGAAAAGAGCGGCGATAGAATCGATCACGACCACTCTCACCGGCCGCCACTGCGATCTCGAGTGTAATAGGAACGTCTCAATCGTCGGAATCAGGTCAACCAATTCGTCGGCGGAATGAACGGCGCGGAGGAAGACGCGGTCGCAGGGATCGGAGCAAGAGAGATTGGGATGCGAAGATCGGAAAGCGCGCGAGAGTTGTCGAAGGCGGCGAAAGGGGAAAGGGAACTCGGTGTGGATGTAAATGGAGGAAGCGGAGAGGCCGCCGCCGGAGGGTGGAAGCTGAGCGGAGAGAACGAGCTGGAGGCAAAGTTGAGTCTTGCCGGAACCGCTTTCGCCGACGAGCTCCGTCACTGAGTTGCAGGGGACGCCACCGCCGAGGCAGCGATCCAGTACGGGACACCCTACGCTGCACTTCTCTGTTCGCTGTTGCAATTGCATTAGATTCTCTGCCCTCATTTTTCTAATCCAATAACCCTAACACTGTTCTCGAATACTTTCCCCTTCTATCCCAAATTTATGTTTTATCATAAATATCAACATTAAAATAAAATTTTCATTTAAGAATAACATTTATATATTGTATTTAAAAAACTGTCCATGATTTTTTCTAATAGGATTGATGAAGAGGAACACTTGGGACATTATTTCATATGTTTCTTGGTATATGGCACGATAATAACCAAATTAATAGGAAATAAAAGACAAAACTAGCAAGATTTTATATATATACACTCTTTCTCAATCTCCTCTGAATTACATCTAACATTGGCCAAAACACCTCTATTAATTTTAACTCATATTTAGAACTTTGAATTATGATGATTCTTCGTGTGAGAACTAACATACTTAAAGATTCTTTTTTTTTTTTTATTTTGAGCAAACTTAATTTGAATTATTTTAAATACATGAATTAATCTTAAGTTTCTCAAAATCATTGATCAAATCTTGTAACTCGTTCTTGTAATCAAATGTCCGTTTATTTTATATTTTTAAGCTCTTTTTTTTTTTTTCAGAGAACCAAACAATCAATCCCTTAATAGCTGTTTTATGTATGCAAGTGAAAATAAAGTAAAAGTTAAAACCAATAATAAAGATCATAATATAAACTAAGATCTTATGACACAGATTGTACCATGGGCTCATTTTCCATCTCCAACTCATTGTCAACAATATATGCATATGTAATCTATATGAGAAAATGACAATGGAGAAGGTTTGACAGAATAAAAGGGAGTTGGGTGTGTTGCTACAAATGTTAGGTAGGAGCCCACGAGTAGCAACTACAACAGCTAAATCAAACATCAAATCATGCACAAGGCCATATATACATATAATTCTTTTTGACTAAATACAGGAAACTAAATATTCTTCCTTTCATGCCATGATATGAAACTTGGCACAAGTAATTCTGAGTGGAGCTGTGGAAAATGCAATTTAAAAAGATTTAATCTGTATTTAACTTGCTAATAAACTTAGACCTTTTTTCCTTCAATCTTTTACTTTAAAATTAAAGGTTAAGTTGACCAAACTTAACATCGAATCGGGTCCATAGCTCAGTGGTAGAGCATTTGACTGCAGATCAAGAGGTCACCGGTTCGAACCCGGTTGGGCCCTTTTTTTCATTAACCTTTTTCTTTTATTAATCCTTTCCTTTTTCAACTTCCCCCATGTAATGTATAACCTTTCTTGTGGACACTTCTTTGCCTCACTTGGAAAACCAACACAAGCACTTTTTATTTCCTTGCATGTACAAAACATGTGGATTCCTATGCTAAAGTCAACATTAAATAATAAATATTGCATTAACATATTAAGCATAACCTCCTATTCTCATAAGAAAAGAAAAAACTTCACCAAAGCTGGAAGGTCTAATAGGAAAATTCCAAAGCCTCTTCGTAGACCGTCAAAATCAAATAATCATAAAATAAAACCTTCTTCAAGTGAAGGATAAGACACTCTTTTGTCGTCAACTACATGAAATAGTTACTTGAACTGTCAAAAAAATAGGACTCTTATCCTCTCAAGTCTCAAGCAGTACAGCCTCTGCAGCAATGATCCCAATCGTTAAATTTAGATCCGATAGTTGTAAATATTATAATATTTTATAATTAGTCAATCACATATTTAATAATTGACAATTTTTTAGCTGGAGAGATCCAAAATTCTAAAAAATAACACAATATATGATATTATAATCTTTTTATACACTGCATCCAAAAAGTACACTTTAATTATTAAAAAGACACCTAAAGATGTTCCACTTTAATGATACAATCGATATTTTCGTCACAACCACCGTCACAGGTAGAGATGCATGTGACTCCTCTAAAAAGTTGTTTTGCATGATCCTACTTCATCTCTCTCTCCGTTTCATCTCAAACAAACTACACACTCGGAGCTACTATAAATATATCTTCTATCGTGTAGTCTTCCCTTATTCCCGTTTAACTTTGTTGTTTCTGTTCTACTTCTACTCTTTAATCACTGTTTTCTGCGACATGAATATCACATCTTTTCTTTCATTCCATTGTACAGTTACAATACAAAGTCTATGTGAGGACGAAAGACTTGAGAAAGTGGACATATGGTGTGGTGTCTCAGAATGAACAACAATGCCAAGCTCTACATGTAATGAAAGCAAAATGGGTTAGAGCTGGCATCGTTGTTCATTATGATACAACAGACCCATTATTACAGAAAGCTTTAGATTTTTCCACCTATAAAGATTAGTTTTCGACTGCAAATTTAGACTTTGATATAAATTTAGTCTTCTTCTTCTTGTACGGGTGCATTCCTTACTTTAAATATATAGTTTCTTTGTAAATTTTTTATTATCCTTTTACGTTTAACTGCGCCAAAAAATAATCAATTTTTTAAGTCGGATATCTATTAAATCAGGATAAAGCAACTTCTATTGACTCTTTGTAAAAAGGAAGTGCATACGTGCTCATGGCTAGCTAGTATTTTTAATTACCCAAACTACAGACGTTTATTATGTTAACTTTTGATCACTGTTGTTTTACGTAAATTAATATAAAATTTCAATTAAGACTGAATTAACAAAACTAAATACCGAATGTATAAAATGCACATGACATAATAAAGAAAAAATTAATACTTAAAAATGCTTTTATTGAAAATAAATTATAAAAGCACTTCCGCTTAAAAGTTAAGACTTGTAAATCATATACAGACGTAGATAAAATAAAATTACAGTAGTCGTGGAAAATGACTTAACTCCTTCAAAAAGTAAGGTAAATATAAGTTTTTTTTATAAGCGTTCTTAAAGCTCAAACTTTCCCTACCTTAGAAACGAGGCACCGTTCCTTCCCCCTAAAATTTGAGTCATCAAAAATAAAGAGGGAGATAGTTAACTAAAATATTATTTATAGTCAAATATTATAATGAAATGTAAGCCTTAACGCTAAAGAAGATAGCATCTAATAGGAATACATCATATGCTTATTTTTCATATACAGTGATAGATAGAGAAAGAATATAATCAAATAAGATAAATATGCAATCTTAACAATAGGTCAAAACATTTTAATAAGAGACATGAAAGAACTAAACCAAAAATCTCTCCCAATAATTACTTTTTCGGTCACGTGTCACTTTTGATTTAGAAAAGCTGACATGGAAACAGAAAATAAGAACAGGTATTTTTATTCCTTTCAGGTTTATACAAGGTATGTGCTATCATACGTAACTCACAGTTATACAAGTAAGAGACAATGAACTGTCACCTAACAGAGAAAACGGGCACAGAACTGTCAATGCACAAAAGCATATTTCTTTCATTCCATATGTCAAGTAATAGTCTACAAATTTACAATGTCCAACATGTGATACCACCATGCCCAGCATAATAATGTGGAGGAAAATTGCAAGCAACTCAATCTTTGACACTCTTTTCCACACTATTATTGGATAAAATCTCGTGTTGGTGACATTTATTGGGATCAGGTTCGAGTTATTTAGTGACACCAACATGGGATTTCACCTAATACTACAGAAATGTAAAGGCCTTCACATGTGTCTGCACTTTTTTCTTTCTCATTTTGTGTGTAACGGAGAAGATGAGCATCAGTGAGTAACACCAGTTACAGGAATTTTTTTTTTTTTTTTGGGGGGGGTGGGGGGTGGGCGGGGCGAGGAGGAGGAGGAGGAAAACAAAGTACGGAGACAGCAAAAGCAGATAACATCCACCACTAATCCTATAAAATTCACCAGCACCACCTACAATCTAATTCTCCCTAACAAGTCACCAGACATTGCCAGTACAAATCCGATTCAAGTTCAACTCTCAAACTCCTGGAATTTCTGTCACCAGAACTGCTTTCAATTATGTGGAAATATTCCAAGATTGAAAAAATTATATACATGTTAATGCCTCCTCGTGAAAGAAGCAAAACTGCCCCCAAAGTTCCCATGTGCAGATATGTTGATCCTATCAAACTGACATTCAACCAACTCCTAAGTCTATATAGTTAATCACACTCTATACCCCTATTTTTCGCTGCTTCAACAGCATCTTTTGCATCTCCACCGGTCATATATAGATTATTGAAGCATTTCCACAACACGATAGAAAATGGATACACTGATAGTGCCCTCCTATAAAACCTCTCAGATATTGTCTCATTGCCCATAGCATTGTGCAAAAACCCTGCAGCTTCCACCCAGACGTATTCTGGTGGTATAGGCATTGCATCCAAAATTGCTTTTACCAGGGTTGAACAAGCCCAAAACCAGAGACTGGCCGAGTTTAAGTCAGAAGAATTGTAGTCCTTGATTAATAGCTTGCAAACAGTAATAGCTAACTGGAAGTTGTGAGGAACTACCTCCATAATGGCTTCAACAAAATCCACCAGATGTTTCTGGTCACTAATAGTTTGGGGTAGAAGAGAAGAACCAAACCAAGATTGAAGTATCAAATTTAGCAGAGAACAATCTAATGAAACTGGACATAATATGTTGCCAATAAGATGCCTTACTCTTGGCTTCTTGATGATGTCAACAAATGTTCTTGTCAACACCTTAGGGACTAGCAAGTCCTGAGAGGAACCATCCAAATATAACTCCAAAATCTTCTTGATAGCACCCTCAGGACCATCCTCTGTTAAGTTTAGGGCATCACAAACTACAAACATCACATGTTTTCTCTTACATTGCTCTAAACCTCCAAAACTAGCAGTACTCCTAGCCTTGTCAACTGCTATGCATGCTGCTGTTCTATCATTCTGGAAAAATTTATAAAGAGATAGGTTAAGAAATCCAAACAACATATCTATCTGTTTATGATCACAACTGGATCTGTCTAAAACAGATTTTGAATCCAGTCCCAATAAGCCAGATGAATTACCACCATCAGTGGTCTCCATCCCTCTGTTTGGGAGATCTTGTACTTGCCAAACAGAGTGGAACCATCGAACTGTAATTGCTTTTGCAAGATCAATTCTTTCATTGCGGATGGCATTTTCAATGTACTGATTCCAGATGCACTGGATTCCAGGAACTTCTTTTGGCCATCTGCTAATCACTTCCTCAAATCCCATGAAATTATCAACATGAATATCCTCTTTCTGTATTCGAGCTGATGCCAGGACCAATTCAATGCAGGAAGGATACAACTTAATGTATTTATCCAACAAATTCCACAAGCATTCTTTGTTATCAAGAGCAACCATGCATCTAAGATGATTGAGAGCAAAAAGTTGAGCAGAACTTAGATTAACTTCACTTTTTACTGATTCATTAGAGACAAGAGAATCAATAGATTCAACAGCTGCCTCCACAAGTTTAATAGCCATCTCCTTGTCATCTTCTGATAAACTGACAACAGGCCATTCAATATCAAGGAGATTTTTCTCACATTCAAACTTCTGAACTACAGCATCGGGCAGTTTCCTGTAAATAACTAAGTAAACACAACAAACCCAGAATACACATTTGTCAGAAATTGTTAAGCAATTGAGTATATCAGAGAGTGACAGTCGATGAGGCTCATTGGATTTTGTTGTAGCAGTAAATATTCCATAAATTCTTTCAATGGCCTTTTCAACGTTTCCTGACATGCGCAAGCAATCCATCATCTGCAAAAACAGGTCTAAGATGCATGCACTTTCATGTATTCTATCATAGGGAGTGGCAGATGCATGCTGACAGAGCACTGAGAGGGCTGTATTATAGGCAACCAACCGATCATCAAGCTTTCCCTGACTGTTGATGTACATGAGCCAGAGCACATAAGATCCTTCACAGAGCTTAACCTGGAAAACAACAGTTGAGTGTTTCCACAGCATGCATTAAGTTCTCAAAAGGAATACTTAAAATGTTAAAAAATAATAATAAAAGAAATTGATGTAGAGACTGAGAGATAGATGACAAAAGGATCTTTGTCCCTCTCAAACAAAATAAAAAAGAGCACTGCATTTGATTCTCTCTTATCAACAGGGACAAAAGGCAAAACCACACACATGACCACTTTCCAACTAACATTATTTGTCATAAAGATTTTCAACTCATCCATTTACCCATCATGAGCTGAATAGCAGGCCAAAAACCAGCATTTTATAAACTGATAGACAGGTTCTCACAATTAAGCATTTTAAAATGATGGGTCAATACATAGTTCTCCTGTACACCTCAAAGTTCCTTATGATACATTAAGTGATGTGGCACCATTAGTAGTCACAAAAAAAAAAAAAAAAAAAAACAAACCAAAAGATCTAAAGGTAATTCATAATGCTATTGCCTAGTGCTTCTGGTATCTTGATAATAAATAAACAAGTCTGTTGGTAAATTTCCTGAGTTCACCATTAATGGTAACTATATTCTTAAAAACTCTCCATTCTCCTTTCAGAAGAAAGAAATATTCTCCAGAGCACACTCCACATATAAGTAGGAAACAACAAAAAACATACCGCACACAAGAACATGTCATCCCTTTCATTTGGCTTCAAATTTCCATAGTAAATGACCAGATAAACAATCCAGAGAACCACAGATGTTGGATAAGTCTCCAGAGCTTTTGACAGTACAGATAAGGCCTGAAAAAACAAATTTTGAGATGAACAAATATATGAACAAATTCTAACACTAGCCATCAAGACAATGTATATACAACTGTTACCTTTCTTACACCTTGCAATTTATTACTTTCCTGGTTGAGAATAAGAAGAGCCATTTCAACAGCTTGTTCACTGTCAGCCATAGCCTGCTTAATTTGATTCTAAGTATGCAATAAATAAAGGAGCAGTTAGCATGAATAAACTAATCCAGAAATTCAAACTAAGGTACCAAAGCCAGATTAATGAAGGACAACTGTCAAATTCACACTGTGGCCAACACGGGAGGAAGGGGGGAGTTATTGGTAGTATAACTGGGGACAAAATGACTTATGCAAAACAAACTTTCCATTTAGAAGTTCACAAACTAAATTGTTTGAAGTCCTTAGCACTATAATCATGACTAGAAACCCTTTAGCAAGTTCACCAAATTACGCAAACAGCCAAAATATTATGTACATGCACTTCAAATTTAAAATAGTGGATCATTAAAGATTCAAAACTATAATCTCATATGTAGCATGAAAGTGCAACAGTGGATAGAAGCACTAAATGGATAAAAAAGGAATGAGATGACTAGATATTGTTTTGGGCATGCGATGTATAATCCACTAGGTAGAAACTTTGAATTTAACATAAAAAAAGGAAAAGTTATCCACATAATATGGATTGCTAAAGAGCAGAAGTTGGCTTAAACATGTTTTTTATCTCTACATTTTTGTAAAATTTTGATTTTAGTCCCTAAAAATTTTCTTTTGGTTTAAATCCCTTATTATTCTAAATTCAATACTTTAGTCCCTAGTAATGAAGTGGCTAACTAAGAGGTTGCCACATGTCAATTTTGTGTCGTATTATTTTTTTATGCAACACATCATCATTATAAATCAAAAGTACTGAATTTAGAAAAATAATAATTAAGGACAAAAACCAAAGAATAATTTTTTACTAACTAAAATCAAAATCTCACAAACATATAAGAACTAAATATATTAAGCCCTAAAGTTGTATCTTGATTAAAAAATGGTAGGTCCCTCTACTCCGTGGCATAATAAAACTTATTAGCAAGCAAGCACTTCTAGGACTTACCTAATCCCTTAGGCTGTTTCCTATTTCTATCATAACTACCTTAAATGACCAAAAGTATAACCAAATAAAACCCTAAAATGATTATTAAGAAACCAAAATAAAACCATAAAAAAATCAAAATATAGTAATCTTTGCTCATTTTGCTCACTTCTGCATTCAGGTGATAAGCTTAGAGTCGAAGACTAAAACATAATTAAAGAGAGAACATTGAAAACTGGTAGAAGTGTAATAAACAAAGAAAATTAGAAAAATAAAATAAAGTTAGAAGCAACAAACCCCAGCTCCACTTCTCCAATGAAAAGAAGACAATTGCTTGTTCCATGCACCATGGACCTCTATGCGTTCATCACCATGCAATAATGGACCTCCAGCAGGTAAACTATTTCGAAGTAGATTTGAAGTAGCTAAAGTAATACTGAAATGCTTCTGCCAGCATTGAGTATTCCTATGAGCCACAACAGGTTTATATGCAAATTGATCTGCTTTAAGAATATCTAAACCAACAAGGTAAGTTGGCAGAATGGTAGCTTTGTGACACTTGGGAACTTTTGTCCCACCATTACAGTTATGTTGATGCAATGGTAATCTACCTTGACCATCTGCTAAAAAAGTGTATAACAGTGTCTTTAGAAAAGAAAATTTCAATAACAATAGATCAGAAATTATTTCAAAGTGCCTATATCAAAATGAAATAATACTTCATTATTTGTAATTATATTCCATATATTAGTACTAACATCTGCACATATCTAATAGTCAATGATGATGGTGCTACAGCATTGTGCCTCACCTCTGATAGAGAATAAAGAAAGCATCTTCATGTGTCAATTACGATTTTTGGTAGGGTACAAAATCAGAATCGTACTAGGCATTAGGTGCTGTAACTAGTTAAATAATTTAATAGAAAGTATTAAATGAAAAGGTATAACCGTTAAAATATATTTTCATAAACCATATGCAAATAATATTATCAGCTTTGAAATGCAAACAAAAAATACATAGCCATCATCACACAGAAATCTTCATAAACTCATATAATAAGCATGAAGGTAAAACCCATAGGCTTCAAACTGTCACTATTTTTTATACCTGCATTATTAGAATCAGCGTGCTGAATGTTTCCATCACCATAGTCCTTAGCATGCTGCCAAGGACACTCATCATTGTTGCATTTTCCTCGCAGTTCATACGTGCATAGTGGCCAAAATGGATCAACTGCAGGGCTGTAGCAAAAAGAACTGTCGCCTGAGAGTAAGTTTCCGACAGTGACAGGCATTGAAATTGCTAACATATTACTCCACTTTGTTTCATCAGAACTGAGGGAAGTAGCATTTTCATTTTGACCATCATTAGCATGAATAAAAGCATATTTACTTTGTACTTGATTTGAATTGAATGGAAACATTTCTCTCAGCTCACTGAATGCACTCCTAAATATCAAGGGTGAGGTGTTCTCTGTATCTGTTGAATGGCAACCTTGACAAGATATATCTCCTTGTGCTCCTGAACCAACGCTGCAGTTGACATTCATAGATCTTCCACCAAAGTTTAGCTGATTTTGAATCTCACTGGAACCCACATAGATGCTCCTTTCATGACTCTCAATGCCTATAGCTATTGAAAAAAATAATCAAGAATACAAGTGATAAACAGGGAGACACCTTATCAACAATTTCTTTGTACCACAAAAAGGATTACATGGATTCAATAGAGGAAACAAACTGTACTCAAAAGCAGCATTGACAGAGATAAAAACCTTTCATCAAATAAACAACTGATATTTTAAGCACATATTCGTTAGAAAAAGCCAGCTGAAGATATAAGTTACAGTAAAACAACATTCACATTGAACTATTCTTAAGAGAGTAAATCCTATATCAAAACACAGTATATCACAAATTCAAGCATACAACCAAAGATTTATTATTTTTTAAAAGTGAACCAAGCAAGCCCCGCCAGGGAGGGAGGGAGGGGGAAGCACAGATAAGAGCATATGAACTACAGTTTAAGTAAGCTACATTACAATTGATCAGGATTCAAGGTCAGCATCACGGACTTAAAAGTCATATCTATATAGGGAAATTAACACACCACAGCATGCTTATTCAACACCAAAATAAAAAATAAAAAATAAAAACCTTTAAGATCATTCTCTTCTGCCAAAGATAGTGGAACAACACTGTGATGCATCTGGTTTTTCTCATTTACAACCTCATTTTCAGCACCTCGCTCAACCGCAGGCTCTACATTGTTACATGGATTTCTACTCTTCATAGCTCTTGCTCCCAACCGTGCAAATAATTCAGACCTTAATGTTGCTTCAAGAAGCAAAGAATCCTGGGGATTATCAGTTGAAAATTTTGCATTTGATGCAGTATCTACGTCAACTAGTTTGGCCTTGGAATCTTGTTTTCTAATATACTCAGCATCACAATGATTAGACAGATGTCCAACTGGAGAAATATCTTCATTTTCATTAGCTGATGCATCTAATTCATCTGAAGGAGAATATACCCCATCTGCAGCATAAGTATCTCTTTGAGGCAATGGCTCTGATGTACTGGCATCTGGTTCACCACAAGGTTCAGACCCTAAAGTTGCTCCATCCACAAGGTGATTAGATGTATTGGAATGCCTATTATTGATGTCTCTATTATTAGAATCAAAACTTGGATTGTTAATATCATTATACTCAACCTGCCTTTGACAGCTTGAAGTGGGTATTTCATATCCAGGTCTAGGTAAGGAATCCAGCTCTACATGTTGGTGCTGCCCTGAAGACCACGAGAAGCCAGAATTGTTTAAAATTAAAGACCTTAACTTAGCTGAATGCAATTCCCTTTTATGATAAAGATTGGTGCATCGAGCATTAGCCTCAAGCAAAGACCTCTGAGCTTTAAGATAAGCTTTAAGTGCACTTCTTTCTTCGATTTCACATTTGTGCCTGTGCTCTTGAGCCTCCTCCAGTTCCTTGTCTATCAAGTCTTCCATATTAAAAAATGACTGTAAATCGATATTGCTGTGCTCTGAGAAATTTACATTTCCATTGTGATTCAAATGAACTGCATTGCTTAGCTCTTCCTACATGAGAGATGAGAGGAGAGAGTCAATAGCACAAAAAACAGAAGACTTATAATATACTAGAGGCCTCTTTTCAATTGTTTAATGTTTTATTACAGGGAAGAACTTGGAGGATGAATAGACTTACTTTACACTATTCAACAGTGTTAAAGACAAAACAAAAATGATATGAAGAAATTCAAAATTATATTAGAACCATCGCTGCTGCTCTATTGTCAAAAGTTTAACTTGGCTGCAAATGCCATGTATTATAACAAATTATAACTTATGGCCAATCACTGAACAGAAAAGCACTGGTCATCTTTCAGTGAAGTGATTAAGTAAAAGCAAATGTCATGAAAAGCAAATTATAACTCACAAGATTTTTTGGCACACCATTGGAACTCATATTTGCCGGCACCACATTTTGGTTGAAAGTAACGCAAGGGTCAAACTGCCTGCCACTCTTCTCAGTTTGATTGCCACCATAATTGACATCACCTACACAGTATAACTAGATCAGAAGAGATTTTAACCAGAAAATGACTTAGACATGTTTTACTATCTAGCATTTGGGCTAGGTTGCGATCAAATGACCAGTTTTCTTATGCTTAACCAAACCATTTAATCAAAGCCAAGTCCTGTAAGATTAGATAATAATGTTTATACACATTCCTATGACATGCTAATGTGATTTTATATTTTGACTAAGAAAATGTGACATTGAATTGCAGTGGCACTTGGAAGCATCGTTGCATAAACTTGCAATCAGAAATGGACATATGAAAATGCCATATGATAAACTCTAACAATTAAATGGAAAAGACAAAGTGGGATGCATTTATTCAAATTTAGAGGCTTGGGAATCTGGCCAAGAGTACAAGTAACTTGATTAAAACTTATTTCAATTTCTAAAATCGAGAATAGTACAAAAAAGTTTCTAAGCCAAATTGCAGACTAAAAATGTTTAAAAAACAGATGACATAAAGGCAAAGTATTTTTACTGTCTCTTGATCTACGAGGCATATTTTGTAATGAGTTGTCAAGATGCTTGTCAGATTGCCTTTGTGATGTGATAATTGTTGACTCTCCCCTGCATGGAATCAATTTTTGGCTATGATCAACCTTGTTTCTCTCCTGAGGATTATAGTTTTCAGATGTAGAATCTTTAGCCGGTAATATAGATTTAACAGCAGGAACTTCTTGCTGACTGCCAACAGCATTAGGGGTGCTGTAAGATGTGCCAAGTTTCAAGCGTTTCCTATCTGGTTCTTTTGGCTCCAACTGTGCAGGTCCTGGGAAAACTGGAGTATTTTTTCTTGCTGTGTTGTTCTTTGAGTTCATGGCATTGTGATCCCTACCCAAAATTGAAGCATACTCCTTATTTTGCTGGGCTGCCTTCAACTTGAGTTCACTTTCACGAAGTGCAATCTGATGCCTTAAATCCTGAAGTTTATTGTCATTTGACACCACTCCTTGATCACGTCCACGCTCTACATTTGCTAAATTTTTGTTCATTGGATTGAAATTTCTACCTCGTGGTCCTTGTACTAGTGACATGGATCTGGCAACCTTAGAATTAGAACCAGGAATTTTGGTCATTGATGAGATAAATGTGCGATTTAAAGATGACTTATTGGGCATTTCCTTGTGTAAACTTCTCGCATTCTGCTGTAACTTCCTAGACTTTTCCAAGGAAGAGCTAGGCCGCTTTAAACTGCTATCCAACCTAGAACCATTACCTTTAGTTTCAATGTCACTACCACTGTCATCATCAGAGAAGCTTATTACAAGATTTTTATCAGTGCCTACATGACCATTCCACAGAGAAGATTTAGGAGGTAATTGGTTCTTTTTTAGGATCTTCTGTGTAGTTGGTTGTCTGGTCATTTGCAGTTGTACGTTATTGGAGCCTGCCAAATATTGCCACAAAGATTTACCCTCTAGAAATTGTAAGAGCCATTAAAATGCTTTTGGAAAATGATGTGCACATGAACTCAAATATGACACACAACCTGACTAAAAGAAAAGAAAATATCCTTCATGTACAAAAAAGCACAAATGCAGGTTTCAAATTAAAAATACATTACAGAGGTCTTATACAACACGTAAAACTAGTGTGAGACCATACAAAGATACATGTATCATCAGATAAACACGTCCAGATTTTGCAATAATTAAGATGAAGTTTTTGATTCCATAAGCCAGACTACTAATTATTGACAAAATAACCCCTGGACAAGTCAGACATTGATAGAGTTCTAGATGACACTAGAAGGAAAGAGTGATACTTAGATGAAGAGATTGGTATCCACTATCCACAGAATCCCCAAGGCTAACACGCCAAGTTTACCCTTAATTCACAGTTAGCAAGACTTACCACCTTGAACGCTTTGGGTACTTTTTTGCACCAAAGGAGTAGAATCTGGGCCTGCAGCAGGGGTGGATTGCACGGCAGAGCTATCAGGGTTTTCCTGGTGAACAGAAATCACTTATTAACAAACCATAGCCAATAACAATTCAACAAACAAAGAAGGAAACAATTAAATTGAATTAGCAAAAGGTCAAGTGCTTTCAAATTTTGATACGCCTCTATTTTCCATATCTACTGTTTTGACCAAATAAAAACAAAGAATTAAACACAAAACCTACTCTGCATGTTGAAGCTAAAGAAAACAGTGTTATCCTGAATCCCCTAGATCTACATCAACTATATAAATTTACGAGCTAACAAAGCAAAACTACTAATCCTAAAGCCGAAATCAATAAGCAGCATAGGAAACAAATAATAATAAAAAAAGCGAGAAAAATTCCTAATACGTGCAGAACAAAAACCGGTGAGTGGCAGAAAGAGCAAAATACGAGTCAACGAATGCAAAATAGGAAAAGTAAGAATCGCAGAAATAAAAGGGAGGTAGGGTTTTGTGAAGAAGAATACGTCGTCATCGTCGGAAGAAGAGAGTTCTCCTTCCTCTCTGGTTTTGGAAGGAAGCGTTGGAAGGTCAGGGTTGGTATTCTCGGATGCCGCCATAGTTGTGGAGCCTCTGAGGTTACTACTCTCTCTCTCTCTCTCTCTCTCTCTCTCTCTCAAGAATATAAAGAAAATTAGAAATGAAGACTTGCAAAAAAAAGGCGCACGAAATGGCGAAAGGAGAAGAACGAGACGGTGAGAAAACGAACCAACTCGCGGGCGGCACTGCTCCCTTTTGCAGAACGTGAAATCGCCGTTATGTCCTCATTTTCATTCTGTTTTAACCGTTTTACTTTTATGACTACCTCGTTTTACTTTTATTTTAAATTTAAATTTTTTATCAAGATTCAATTTTTCTTATTTACTCTCTGGAAGATGTTTCTTAAATTATTCACAAGACTAAAAGCACATTTTAAGGTTTTTTTTATTGTTGAGATATAATACAAAATTATTACTATAAATGTTTAAGGATCTGTATTTAGAAAACATGTATCATAAAACCTATAATTAAGTAAAATATTTAATTTTTTTAATTATAATTTATAATAAAAAAACTAATTTATTATTTTTTAACCACTATTTTTAGCATGTTCAATGATAAAATCCCCTTTTTTCATTCCATTTAGAGCTAGCATATGTTATAGAGTTTTATCATTCATAAAAGGCATTCAATTTTTAAAAAAATATTTTTTTTATGAAACAGGGAGCTTAAAAGCCCAAAATAACACTAAAAACACGAGAGATGAGATTTATCAGCAAGCAAAGAAAAGTGAGCCCAATTCGACAGAGATTCAAAATAAATAACACCATTTGATAATGAAAAATCAAGTTTAGCAAAAACATCAACTATCTGGTTAACTTTTTTTGAGAATATGAACACACTTCACCCTTTTGAATGTCTCTTATCATTCTAACAATATGATTGATTAAAGAATAACAAGGATGATCCTAAGGACAAGCTTCATTTAGAAACTAGAGAGCTACAACTCTAAATATGGTTCAATAATAAAATCAACCTCAATTTTATGATATTTGATTAAGCGAATGTCATGATAAATAGCCCACAATTCTACTTGGAGGACAAAATAAGCTCCAACCATTCCTGAATGTGCAAAGATAAAATTACCAAGCTAATATCTGAGAACACCTTCATACGCCACCAGTTTTGATGAGGAGACAGCTCCATCACAATTGAGCTTCAATACTCTATTTACTGGCCAAACCCAGCTAATAATAGGTTGATGCAAACGACCGGTTTTATTTAAAAAAACCAACTCAAGATACCTTAACTAAACTGAAATCAGTTAGGTCAAAGGGGGAAGCAAGGATTTTGGTATTTCACTGCTTTCAATAAAAGAGGAAGAATCAGTTTTACCTTGTTTATCAAAAACTGATTTTCCTCTACACTTTATTTCCTTGTTTGTAGGATTATTAGGTGGTTAGTTATTTCTTTTGGTGCATTTATAGACTTAAAAGTCTGATGAATAAAACAAGTATTTTTTTCGCAAAAATCATTGTTACCTTTAAGCTCTTGACTGGGACCATCAAGTGGTATTAAAGCTTGCAACTATCACTTTACTCATCATTGACCCGGACCACCTCGTGATGGTATTGATGAATCCACTTTTTATTATATTTTTACTTTCCTTTTTGGTGCTCCTTGATAGAAAAAAATGGACTTAGATAGTGCAAATAATATAGAAATCAAATTTTGAGTAAATATCATAGGTTTATTAATTTTTGGTTAATTTGCATTTAATTACATAGATATAGATTACAATTTTAATTATCTTGATAATTTTGCAGAGTCCCCAAGTTAATTCTGAGATATCTTAGCCCTTGGATGAAAGTTGCCCCCAAAGTAGCCACTTTTAGGAGCAAAAGTGGCAACTACAGCAAGTCTGAGCATTAAAGGTTCCAAAGTAGCTACTTTCAACCTCTAAAGTAGCAACTCCAGAGAGCTCCAAGGACGTTATTTGAGAAGTATTTTGCGCGTGGCCACTATTGCCTTTCAAAGTGGCTACGCGCATCCAAAGTTTTCACTTTCAAGTCTAAAAGTAGCAACTCCAGAGAGCTCCAAGGACGTTATTTGAGAAGTATTTTGCGCGTGACCACTATTGCCTTTCAAAGTGGCTACGCGCATCCAAAGTTTCCACTTTCAAGTCCAATAGTAGCAACTCCAGAAAGCTCCAGGACGCCACTTTTGGAAGCAATTTGCGTGTGGCCACTATTGCCTTTCAAAGTGGCTACGCGCATCCAAAGTAGCCACTTTCAAGTCCAAAAGTGGCAACTCCAGAGAATTGGCAAGCTTACGTAAATATGCGTGTGGATACTTTCAAGGCCTAAAGTGGACACTTTCAAAGGCAAAAGTGAACACTTTACTGGCATGTCTTCCACTATAAATAGATTTTAGGAATTAGGGTACGGGGACTTGAATATTTATTTTTCTTTCATTCTCTTTGCCAAATTAGGACATTTTTCTTTCCAAAGCTTTGGAGCCTTGGGTGACAGCCATGGGTCCATTATAGGTTTTGATTTCCAATTTCCCTTTGATTCTCATTGAGTTTACATTAATGTTGCTTATGTTTCTGCATTTCTTTCTTTTATTTGTGAAGCCCATCCATATGGAGGGCTAAATTCTCTTGTAATTCCTAGTCAACTCATATGGTTCTTGAATTCTTGGGTTTAATGGCAATATTACTCTTTCTTTCCTTGAATTTATTAACCCCAATCTCAGAATGAAATGAAATTTACATGAGAGGAACATTGCTTAATGAACCCTAAATTACCCAAACGAAATTCTAATCCAAAATTGCTTAATTTTGATTAATCTTTGAGATTGCTTAATCTTAGAGATAGAGATTGGAGCCCATTAAGATGCTTAATTTTAATTGGGATGCTAAAGTTAATTTTTGCTTGTTAGATTAACTTAATTCAAGGAAAAAATCAGGAATTATTGAATCATTTGAAAGAATAGGGATAGAACTCATTGATTGACTAGGGATTACTCTCCTTAATTGATTGAATTTCACTAGTTTACTTTTTGCTCTTGATTAAAATCTGGAAATTGACAAACCTCTCCCCCAATTTACTTGCTTTAAATTTTATGTTTACACTTGTTCGATGTATGTTCCCAACCAAAAATTCCTTGGAGACGACTTAGGACAACACCCTAGTACTGCATTCATTTCTTTACATATTTGATGAGGATTAACGACAATCTTTGTGCATAACGAGTAGCGAAATTCGTTTCATCAGGTATCAAGATGGAAACCAACAAAGACAGGATTGAATCCCTTGAAGCTGGACTTGGAACTGTACAAGAGGAGCTCGCTCAGCTGAAGACTGCATTGATGGAGAAATTTTAGATCCTGAACACATCACTGAACTGACTCATAGAATCCTTATCTGGCACTCACGTCAGCTCTAACTCGGATCACAGGAAACAGCCAGAAGGGAGCCAAAATCAGAACTCTACCAATCGACCTGACCACCCAAAATCGATGTTTCAATCCAAGATAGCTAAGCTGGAGTTTCCGCACTTCACCAGAGGTGACCCAACATCATGGTTAAGTAAAGCCAAGCAGTTTTTTGACTACCAAGATACACCAAAACACGACCGTGTGCATTATGCCTCTTATCATCTTGATGATGACACCAATAAATGGTGGCAGGCTATGAAAAAGGCTTATGATAAAGATGCGGCGATGATCACTTGGGAGGGGTTTGAAGAGGAACTGTAGGCACGCTTTGGTCCCACCGAATGCGAAGACTTTGACGAAGCCCTGTCCAAGATCAAGCAAGATGGCAGTTTAAGGGATTATCAGCGGGAATTCGAAAAGCTTCAGAACAAGGTCCACGGGTGGACCCAAAAGACACTCGTCGGGACATATATTGGAGGTCTCCAACCATCAGAATGTTCAGGCCTAAGACACTCAAGGAAGCCATCATGCTAGCCAGGATGCGAGATGAACTACTCAACGGCAAAGGTGAAGTCAACCTAGCAGTCCGGTACTGCATAGTTATCAAGCACGAAACACTAATGAATCCTAAGAAACGGAGCTGGGACGAAATTAAAAAGAAGAGAAGCCTAGGATTGTGTTTTAGCTATGATGAACAGTACAACCTTGGGCACAAGTGCTGACAATTACTAATGATGGAAGGAGAACAGGGGTTCTAACGAACTAGAGGACGATGAGACCAAGGAACCAAAGATCTCTTTGTACGCTTTAACTGGTTGGGACACTCCTCATACTATGCGAGTAGAGGCAACGATTGGGAAACATCGCCTAGTGGCCCTCATTGACACTGGATCAACTCACAATTACATCAGTGAGAGAGCGGCAAAGACACTGAATCTCATTGTTTCCTCTACAACATCATTCACTGTTTGTGTTGCCAGTGGCTCGCCGCTAACATGCCAAAGACGTTATGAGACGATACTAATCTTGCTGCACGATATCAGTTTTCCTATAACACTATATGTGCTGCCATTGTGTGGATTAGATGTTTTCCTTGGGATCCAATGGTTAGAAGAATTAGGAACTACCATGTTTGATTGGAAAGCACAAACCATGACTTTCAAATGGGCAGGGACGGACTGCGTACTGCGTACTGCATGAATTGGGAGCTGCTCCAATTAGAGCCACTAAACCCAATGAGGTCTCTAAAAAAGCAGGACAAGGACATACCTATTTGCTCTCTGCATCAAAGAGGAGCAGGCCACTTTGTCACTAGTACCGGGAGCAATAAGGAAGGTGATTGACAGTTTGCAGAGCTTTTCGACGAACCTCGAGAGTTACCTCTAAAGCTGGAGGTCGAACATCACATCTTTCTGAAAGAAGGAACCAATCCAGTGAATGTTTGTCCTTATCGATATGCGCATTTTTAGAAGGAAGAGATTGAACATCAAGTGCAGAATATGTTGGAATCTGGGTTTATCCAGCCGAGCTCTAGTCCTTTCTCGTCCCCTGTGCTGCCTGTAAAAAAAAAAGATGGATCATGGCGGTTTTGCACAGACTATCGTGCACTCAACAAAGTAACTATCAAGGATCGTTTTCCAATACCAATTGTGGAA